CTTGTTGGGATGGTGGGCCCTTTTGGCCTCTACAGATGGTGGGTCTGTTCCACACAGACACTGAGCTAAGGACCTATATTTCGGGAACTTCGGTGGTAGTATTCATAGTCTTAGGTAAATTCATCTCTTTGACCTTAGGAACTTCCAAGTCAGAACACATGTGAGCTCAATCCATCCCGTACTTACGTAAAGGCAACTACACATGGTTTGAACATGGCTTGAACACATGGCTTTGGACGGTTTTACATTGCCCCCGAACGGTCCCACCCTGAACCGCGGCTGAACATCTGGAGATGAAGAATTGGCGGCTAAACAAACTAAATATATATATATATACCCTAGAAGTCAAGTCGACCATTTTAAAAATGGTTGGTCTGGTTTTGTAGTGTAAAACCCTTAGTGAAACAACGGTTGTTCGGCAAAGGCTATTAAAACGATGGTGGTTCGACTTCTAGGGTATATAAATATGTATATATATATATATGATATAGACCAGCACCACCCAAAGGGTAGTGATTGGATGTATTTTAACATCTTCAGGGGGGGTCTATGTCTATCTCACGGTCTGCCTTCGTTGATCACCGCAGCCGGGTACCGCCACCGGTACCTCCGGTGCCACCGCCTTCGGTCACCGAGGGGCAACATCTGCGACTTCATGTTGTGCTTCTGGCGGCGAAAAAACGGAGAGCGGTGTGTTGTTGGGTGGTGGAGAAACCTACGCTTTTTGATGATCTACGAAGGGCCCAAAAAGATACCAAGAATCACAGATTCTACGCCAGGTGCGGGGGAAGGGCCCCCCCAAAGAGAATGGGGGCGAAAGAGGGCTATATGCCAATCCCGGACGACATGTCCGACTATCGGCGTTGGCCAACGATCGATCGCTCGAAGGCCCGCCGCGTCGCGAGCGGCGAAAGCACCCAGCGAAGAGGTGTCTTCTGTCCACTCAGCGCCACAGAGAAGGAGCTACCGAACCCGGAAGCTGACTTTCTTTCGAACCCGAGACTTTCAAACACCGATGATGGGGAGCGGTGGAACGACGCCTTTGGTCGGTCGCACCGGGATCCAGCGACTGAGCTGAGATCCTCACGCGAGGCTCACGCCGGTGAACTCCCCAGGTCACGAACAATGGAACTCCTGTTTCGCCCTCGGAAAACAGTGCAAAACTGTGGATGGCCTGGGCACTTGGAAGACTTCTTGACCAAAAGAGGGACCTTCTTCACTTCCTGATTCCTCATCTTCATCTTCCATTCGTGGTTGCCCAAAAAGGACCAGTCACAGTCCACCATCCCCCCGCTTTGAGCCCTCCACCGGATTTCCTCTTTTTTCCCGTCGCCCCGCAAGATCCGTCGCCCCGGATGACTTCGCGGCGTGCGCCGTGCGCCTTCTCGGAGAGCCGCTTTTGGACGCCGTAGCGCAGCTCCTGCGGCACCTCCTGGCGAGGCCGGACCGGAGGCGTGGATCAGAGGGGTTGCGGGGGACCCGTTGGAGGTCTCTTTTGGTTGGGGCTCTACAACAAAGATCTCAAAGCGATCCCAAAGGCTTTTCTTCGCACAGCGATGATGGTGATCATATCCGATGGATGAAGCAGAACAAGAGGACATTCTGTGACGAACGAGGAGGGTGCATGCCATCCAATTCGATTGTTACAGGGAGGCTAACCGGTTTCGATCAGGTCGGTCGAAAATCCACCTCGGGTCCATCAAGCGCTATCACTATCATAGAGATCCCTTCCTGGGTGGCTCAAAACATCAGCTCACCATCCTCAGACCCGAGTTTTTTTGCCTCAAATCCCAGTCATGGGGTGTTAAACAGTTAAACCCATATGGCCAAAATGATCACCCTTCACATGCCCCCAACTGTCATCAGCCGCATCGAACCATGGCGAACCCACCCAAAGAACGAACCCCCTCGGTGCACGCCGAACGAACAACCTCCGAAGCCACACGTCGTTCGGAGTTCGCCGAAGGTCTCGGACCTCGGAAGCCACGTTCCCCACCTTGGTGTGAAAGAACTCTGGATCACGATCGCTGATTTGTTCATACCTCAGGTGGCGGGCGCGGCAGGCGGTGCGAACCACACCACGGCCGAATCGCGGAGGACCCGGTGCGGCCTCGGTGGCACGGACCGGAAGCGAAGGGTCCAGCCTGGTGAAGCTGTGGGGTCAAAGCATGCGACTGGAGCCACGGGCCAAGTCGGCTGCCTTTGAGAAGGAACAAACAGACTCCTTGCATTCTCGCAAAAATGCAATCCTTTTCACATTTGCCAGAGCTTGGAAAGTGCCCAATGGCTTGCTTCATATCTTTGGGCTGTCTGCTACACACTCCCCTCACTTTTCCTGACATGTCACCCTCACCTGGCAAACCTCGATGTAAACCGTTTCGACTCGATGTCCGTCTCAGCGTTTCGACTCGATGTCCGTGGCGTCCGTGGCTAACATCGGTCGTGGCTACCTCCCTGTGTCCACGAGGGGTCGACGTCTCCAAGCGGCACATAGTCAAAGAAGGCCTCTTGCATCTCGTCGATGCTGGCCTTGGAAGGCGCCGTGGACGACTTGAGAACCGCGAGGTGGTCGCAGGCCTTGGGGTGAAACAAGGGACTTGGTTCCAGCGGCTCCTCGTTCCCACTTCTGGAAGCTGCCAGCTTTTTGGACACGTCAAACACGGTGCCTGCTCCTTTTAGGCGGTGCACGTCGAGAAGACATGTCGGAGGGTCAAGCGGCGGCTTTTGAAGAACGACCCAAGCACACCAGGTCCTTGACCACCTTCACATACGACTCAGTCATTATCCATTGAGCAGCGCAGCATTTGGCGTTGGTGGCTCTTATCATTTACTGTACCTCGGCCGGGAGCCATCCAAAGGGGTCTGGCACATTGACCCCATGTTTCCAGCAGAACCACACCTTCTCCACATCAAATCAACCACCCCAGATTGTTCTGTCCACTCCGGTTCCGTCAATTGGCACTCCCGGACGAAGCTCCCGCAGTCGAAGCCGCCGTCCCACTCCGAAGTCCCGGAGACCGAACGGACCAAAGCACCGTTCGACGGTGAACAGGTCGGAACCCGGACCGAACTTCGAGCAAACACGTGGAGCAATCCCGAAAGAACACCGGAACAGTCTTTGTTTTCTGCATGGTCTCGAGTCTCGAGTCCTTATTTTTCCTCCTTTTGGGAGGGGAGGTGTTGGTGTTAGAGGTGTTTTTCGCCGTGGAAACATCGCCCCCCTTTGGGGACGATCTCCGATTGGAGGGCCGTTTCGGCGGCTCTGTCTGGGCACTGCCGGTCTGTCTGGGCATTCCGGGCTGTGTGGGTGCTCACCTGAGCAGCGGCAAGTCATGAAGACTGTCGAGGAGCTGGGCCAGCTGGAGGGAGAATGAGTCTTCAAAGCTGGAGTCGGGAGTGGAATTTCAGCTTCAGCATGGAACACTACGATGGCAGCTACGTATGGCAGACTAGGCTTCCGTTCGACTATAAAAAATGGGAACGACCTGGTGTTTGTAGTGTAAAATCCTTAGTTGATTCGGGATGACCCGCCTATTAAATTCATGGTTGGAAGTCTAGGGGAATTAAACACGATTATTCTCAGAACAACATCCCTGATCCAACACGACCACTGACTACGACATACTTACTACGACCACCATGCCATTTCGCACCACCCGGACTCAGTTCTTGGATGCGAAAAACATCATTCAAATGTTCCAAACTCCTTGTTCCTTTGAAGGACATCAACATCATTCAATGTAGTATATAAAATATCATATTGTCTTTACTTTCCAACACCATGAGCCGATTCCTTTGGCACCGCCCTCCACCCAAACTCCCGGAACACCGGGAGGTCGGTGGGGAGGGTGTGTCCCGCCGAGGGACCAAGGGCAACGCCGAGTTCAAGGATCTGCGTGCGATGCGCTGCTGCTTGGCCAAGGCGATGCCTGGAGGAGCATCTCTGGGGGGTTCCGCACCACACCGCGCGGAAGGGGGGATGGTCCTGGTGCGTTCTTCAGGGCTGATGTCGTGGCTCTTGGAGTCTCCCAACACATATAGATGAGGTTGGCTTGGCATCTCCGGCGGGGGTTGCCACAGTTCCAAAGGACTGTGTGGGGGAAAGGACCTCCGGAAGCCGACTGTGATGTGGACCAACCCGTCTCTCCCCGTCTCTCCCGTTCCACGGCCCAAGTTGGCCCCATCCGACTGAGGAGAATTCCGGTGTTTTGGGGTTGACCGAAGGATCTTGCTGAAGAAACCCTGGTTTCCTTGTCCAATTTCTGGCTAACCTGTTTTTCCTTATTGCATGGACACACACACACACAAAGCACATGCGCATGCGCATGGGCACATATGAAACCGAAGCATCACAGTATACTACAGGCTGAGCACTTGCCCATCCTCCATCCCGTCACTGGTCACCCCAAAACCGGCGCGAATCAGCAGGCGTTCTTTGGTCAGACTGGCCCGAATTCGGCGCGTGAGACGTTCTTGGGCGGACTGGGACCTGCGGATTTGAAGGTTCCCAGTGTGAATTAGCCACCTCCGGGGAGTGCTTTTCCGTTTTCGACCGGCCTTCTTCGCTGTGACCGGGCCGGAGAGACTGACCATCCGAAACCAAACGATTTCGGAACATCAAAAGGAAAGGCGCCTTCCCCGGTGTGGTTGGATGGCCTACGGTCCAAGCATTACAAACCGCAAATTGCACCAGGACGGCAAGCCGTCGTGGTGTGAAATCCAGCTGCATCTTTGGCATCTTTTGAGGGTCTCGATGGCGACATTTCGAGGAACAACATGGAGCCTATGTGCTACTACTAGGAGCAAGAAGCTACTAGGGGCTCCTGGCATCGCTACTAGTAACAAGGGCCTTACTACCAGTAGCTTCTTAAGCTACTATAGTAACAAAGGGCATTGCTACGAGCGGAGCAAGTGCATCGCTATTAGCTCAGTCACCCACCTGCTGAAACCAGATTGCCCTGTGCATGGCGCCTACTACTGCGTGCTACTACTGCGTGCTAGCAAGGCTTCTTACCAATGCTGAGACCCCTCCAAGTACCCTCTTCACGTCCTTCTCTCGTCACCTGCTCAATCTTCCGGGATTTCCTCCTCCACATCTTCCTGTGGTGGTTCCGGCTCTGCATCCTCGGGTAAAGACCTCAACGGCAGTGGTGCGTTCAACAGCTGATTGTTTTGGACTGGTGTTCTCCGGTCAGATCTCCGCCGCTCCCGAGTTCGGGATTGGCATAGACCACACCGTTGGGGGGAGTTGACAAAAGGATCAGGTCGAGTTTTGATGCATTGGAGGGTGATTCCAATGCAGCCATCATTCATGGCCAGACCACATATCTTCGACGCCCATCCAAGGGTTCTTTCGGTCCAGGAAGGGGAGAGGGGCCCTGCGAGTTTGGGGTTGATAGGAAGTCTTCAGGTTGAGAAAGTGAGATTGAAAGAATGGACCCGTACCCTCTAGGTCATCCAACTGTATGCAACATGTTTTCCTTTTGGGCTGGTTTGGTAGATGAAAAGGCAAGCATTTTGCAATTATTATCCAAAGATCCACCAGCACCACGAAAAAGGGTGAAGGGTGGTTTATAGACATCCCTCCGATCCTACCCTTTCTGTGGATGTGGCAGGCATGCGTTTTTCTTCCATAGGTCCCCCCAAAAGTACCATCGGGTGCTTCATTTGGAGGGGCCAAGCAAAGACTGTTTCAAGCGGCATTCTTCGAGCATCCCGCCAAAAACAAGGCAAGGATGCATACGAACGGACCCACGCGCTCGGGGTGGTTACCTCTAAGGACCTATCAAGTTCGACACCCCTGGTCTGGGGGTCCTCGTATACCTCAATGTTGACCGTTGCATCAAATCCCACGACCGTGGCCAGACATCATACGACCCATTCAGGGAAGGGCCTAGGAAATCGACCATTCTTCAGTCAACATGCAGAGGCCGAATGGTGAGGAGGACTGGGCGGGGAAGGACCTGGATCTTAGGCCGAAGCGAATTCTGCATGTAAGATCCAGGTCCTTCCACCGCGACGGAAGGGTCCTTCCTTCGTCCGCGGTCCAATCCGACGCGTCGTCGGATTGCCCGGTGGCTGCGTGGTTGGTGCAGGCGGTGCCAGGGGGGGGGACATTACAAACCTCTCAGGTACGTCGTAGAGAGAACATGAGATAACGAGTACACGCTGACTTCAAGGGGTCAGGAGGACCCCAAGGGGTCACATAGCGAAAACGTGACATACCTCCTCGGTCCCGGAGGTGACCTCCTCGGTCTCGGACGTCAGGTCGGACCCCGGAGTGAGGTCTTTATGAAGTGCCTCTTTGCGAGTTGGTCAGGGAGGTAACATGAGGACCCCTCTCTGAAGAGGGGAGGGTCATGAAGAAAGGCTCTCCGACCAGTGAAAACATCTTAGGATTTTGCACATGTGTTTTCACCCTTGGACTTCGTCTCCGCCCCAAAAGAAGGGATCCCCAGACAAGGCCAGCTGCCTTCTTCCATCACCCGATCAATATCATCCCTATAGGGCCTATAGGGCTCCTGGTCCATCTCCTGACCCATCACCCCAGTCCCTCCCGCACCCCAGTCCCACCAAGTTTCGAAGCTTCTTTGGGTCCCCTGGTCAAGCCCTTACATCACATCACATCCATCCTCATCCGTTTCGTTTTGCCCCAACCAAAACCGGTGAAGCACCCGCCCACGTCCCCCTCCGGTCGTCCCCAGCGACTGGCCCACGCTGCGGTAGATGGTCTCCAGCAGCGACCGGTCCAGGTAGGGCGTGAGGACCTGAGTTGGACGGCGTGGAGGACGTGAAGGCACGGCCCAAGTCGACTTGGACCCTTGAAGTAGAGGAAGTGATCCTTTTATAGTAGGTACTTAGGATCATCCTCTGTCTTCTTTTTTTTGGCGCATTGATTATTTTGTTAAAAATCACATCGTCTTGGACTGCCAGGGTGAAGGTGCAGAGTTCCATCATTTTGGTCAGGGTCAGCAAGTTGGAGATCAGTGATACATAGCGATACCCTATACTTTGTCCACGAAGACTGCATCTGGCTTGTCCCGAAAGGATGGGCCAGATAAAGATAGGAGAACCTCCGAGACGGAAGTGCCGTCTTCAGGCAGCGTGGTCGTGGGGTCGTATCTCGTTTTGGCGTTGTGATTCTAGACAGGACTCCGGTTTTGCCAGGTCTCCTCATTTCGGTTGGGACATGACCCCGTGGGACACGGATGCTGCTCGAAATGGCCCAACTGCGAAGTCGGATGCTGGGACAGTCCAAACGTCAAGACTCAGCTCCAGCTTTGAATCCCTTGCTCCTCTCGTCCTCTCCCGGACATGTCACCGAATTCGACACATTTGTCTCGACCCAAACCAAAGACCCAAACCCCAATGGACAGGAGTATAGTATGTCACTATGTCCATCTTCTTCGTTGCGTCCGCCTCAGTCCTCCGCCCACCTCGGTGGCCGGTCCACCCGGAGTCCAACACCGACCGAGCGCGTCCACCGGGTCTCCGACGATATTCCGCTGTCGCATGCGCTCCACCGTCCTCGGAGCGCGGAGCGCGGAGGGACGAGCGAGGGGAGCGTGCTGGTGGGGATGGAAGAGAGGTTGAGAGACCTGAGCTCAAAGGCCTCTATATATATAAACCAGGACCCACAAGGGGTGGTTGATGGACACTTCTTAATCTCTAAGGGGCTATCAATGGAAGCCTTACGGTGTTCTGGTATTGTAATAACTATATGTGGTGCATAAGGGATAGGCGGAAAAGGCTGTTCAACCGACCTCTCTAGGACTGTAAACGAAATGTCAAAGAACACCGATGATTGGGGCTTTCATAAATGCGCACACAACTGCACAGACCAACTTGACCACTTAAAACTGATTATTTCAATAAGCCTCAGCCTTAAGGAGGCGTTTCAGATCATGTTAAGGGAAAGGAGTCCATGAATTCACCAAATCAACCAGAAAACTCTCCACACAATTGAGCCTCCACCTCCTCCTCCTGCACTCCAACGCAGACGCCCCACCCATCAAAACCGGCGCCACTCCCCGCCGCCTGTGTGCGGAATGATAATCCCCCATCTCGCCGTAGTACTCCACCAGCTGCGCGAAGATGTCGCCGATCCGCACCTCGGAAAAGCCGTCTCCGTGCCTTCCGCGACGTGGCCAAGCTTCCCAGCGGCCGTCCGTCTCCGTGCCAAAGCAAGCTGCAAAGGACCAGAGGTCCGAACGAATCGAAAAAGAACCAACAGAGGTTGAAGAACCCTATAGACTATCCCAGTTCGGTACCCCAGTAGGTCCTATTTACGGTCACTTAACCTCTCTTGGAAAGGACAGGTGGCTGCGGATTCGATCTCGGGCATCTCCACCATGTGCTCGCAGGTGGCCACCATCTGGTCCTGAAGAGATGGAGAGACGTCTCAAAGAGGAACGCCCAGAAGTCCAGTTCGACTATATGTGACCCCACTGAAGTACAGACAGTTCCTTTTTGGGATCACCTCAAAAAACCATTTTACAGATATAGTCATGGACTCCAAGGGTGAAGTTTGCAAACTCTGAGGACAACTCTTTCACACGTTTCACTCCCCTGCACCCTCCAACAAGTCTCGTCTCGTCTCGTTGGGCCTTCACCCAAACAATTTGAAAGACCCAAACACTTGGACCCTTCCAAGAGAGGTTAAGTGACCGTAAATAGGACCTACTGGGGTACCGAACTGGGATAGTCTATAGGGTTCTTCAACCTCTGTTGGTATAGTATAGGTGCATATGGGACAGGCGAACGTACGGACCGGTACGGACCGGTACGGACCGGTGAGAACGTGGTCACACCGCACCGTCGGATGCGACACGTCGCCGGAAGGACACCGACAACGGGGGTCGGACAAGGGCGGCTGGCAGTGCTTGTCCGTTGGATCGGGTCCACCGATGATTTGCCTGCTAGTCTTTTTGCATATTTTTCTTCGTGCTAGTCTTTGCTATACATCATGCTTATTTTGCGTTCCTGCTGCACAAAAGCATGATCAATCTATCTCTGCTGCAGCCCGTGGCTCGTGGGTACGCAGCAGTTCGGAGTCACGACAGAACTTCACCTGTCCCGACGGGGAAGTTGCTGAGTTGATGCTGCGTACCGATAATACCGAAATCGATTCTTCACATCACACCTTCCCGACGGGCATTCATCAAGAGGGCCTAGCTATCTTCGCTGGTGCAAACATCATCGACAACGCCGTCGGTCTCGACAGCACCACCGCTTATCCGGGAGTTCGGTGAAGTGACATCGAAATGCAGTTGCAGAAACCGGCGCAGGCATTTGCAGTCAAGGTTGCCTTTTTGACTGCAGTTGCAGGGTATTTGCAAGGGTATGGCACGATATGCGTGAAAGAACACGTTTGCTGTATCACATCTGCTGCGTGTTTTTTGCTCCAAACGCCGAACATCAAAAGGATCGTGCAAAGCTCATGAGTGGCTCCATTTCTAGCGGTCAGAGCTGTTTGCAAGGGCTTAGTCTTGTAATGCGGAGGCTTGATTGGAGTCATCGACAATGGCCCTCAGCTGGGGTAAGTTCGGTGGGCCCTTGGCGAGTCACATGAGTGCGCAGCCGAACTCCAAACTCTTAAGGCCCGAAACAAGTCCTCAAACTCGGACGAGTCAGAAAGGATCGGTTCAACGGAATTTTGACGCCGTAGACATGCCTGTTTCAAGATTGTACCTGCAAAAGATCTGTGTGGAATCTGCCAACACAATGTCATCAAAATGCATCTGGCTTGGTTGGGACCTGCAAATCCGAATTGCCCAAAATGACTCCCCACGAAGAGGACAAGGTGTTGACTGGAGGCACAAGATCAACACCCCTCACTCCAAAATCTCTGAAGGCCGTCTGACACCACTCCTGAGCGCAGAACTCCAAGTCGCTTGCACTGTGGATGGCTCATCAACTATGTACTAAGTTCAGATGGTTTTTCGGTGGCCAAGGAGCCATCGGCCCCGCTGCGCCATGCGTCGTTCCAGCTCTTTGAGGCGCCATGCGGTGATCCGCCATCGACGCACCGCCCTCTCCGGTTGAGGCCGCCGCGTCACGACTTCCAGTCCAAAGTCGGGACTGCCCGGTGACGCTTGCGACGGCCATTTCCATCAATCTTCGAGTGCTCAGAGTGCTCAAAGGTCGAGCAGATGGTCGGTCTTTGCACACTTTGCTCAAGGTGTTCTTCAAATGTTCAGTCGCAATGATTCCTTCAAGTGTTCAAATCTTTGATTTGAGACATCAATTTGGTCTTTGCTCAATGCCTCAACTCTTCGCAAAGGGTGCGGTGTTCGTGCACAATGGCACTCCCTGAAGTCGCCACCTGACGATCTGACCCATGTCAAATGGTATGCAGTAAGGTTGCCAGGGCCATCTCTGATGGCCTGCAGGTACTCACTTCCCACTGCCCGTGCCCGTTCTAAAGGGCCAATCCTTCAACTTGGTCTCCAGGAGAAGGTTTAAGGCTGAAAGCGAGGTACCGCTGGCATCCGCTCCATCCTGATCACCCAGAGTCCGGGAGATCTCCAAATCTCTCTCTCTGCTCCGGTTTTCAACCCAGACACTCTATGTATAGCATATATGCCTACATTGGCCCCTTTTCAACCACCCCAATGTAGAATATGACATACATGGAGTGTCTGGGCAAAGCTGGCGGGACGTCCTCGTTCTTCATGTCAACGGCAACGGATGTCTTCGACCTCACCATCCCCATTGGCACAAGCCACGGTTCCATGTTGGCCAGGCAGAACAGATCCGAAAAGAACTGGCGTCTGTGGAAGGTCAGCTTCACACCCGTCTAACACCTTGTTGTAATCCGAGATGAGAGAACGGGTTGTCTTGTGCTTCCACTCGTAGTTCAGACAGTTCCGAAAGGAACCGTTGATCTTTCAGATAATCTTCAAACGCAGGACATGTGACCCTATGCCCTATTAGAATCCCAGCCACATGACCCTGTACGCAATCACGCGTTAGTCATGCCGGACTAGCCCACGGCTTTAAAAGCCATGGGGTCTCGGATCCAGTGAAGAAACATCGCAAGCTAGCAATATTGCCATCATATTGCATATACCCTGGGAGTCCAGTCAACCATTTTTAAAACGGTCTTTAGTATTTAGATGATCCGAGTTCAGGAACTTCCTGAACACTTGGGTGGTGCCTAAAATAGTCGAACTGGACTTCTAGGGTATATATAACATGATATGCCTGGCAATCTGCTTGGAAAAGAACACCCAGTGACCTACTGCGGGAATCTGCAAACTCCTCTGCGGGCGCCATAAGACCGAACATTCCTTCTTGGCCGATGGTGGTCAGGGATTTCTATGCCGCAAGCGGGTGCTGTTTGGGAGTCAGACCGAAACGGTCTTAGGATCTGCTTGGCGACACCGTCCCTCGCCCCCACCCGAACCGTCGTCCGTCGGCCCCTTCTTCGGTCCGGCTCCGTCTTGGCCATCTGTCGCACCTGGGCGGGTTGGAGTGGAGTTCTCCAGGCCGGAGCGAACTCCAAGGCCCCAAACGTTCCCACAGCTGCCCGTGGAGGTGGATGAATTCAGAAGCACACACAGTCACAGCTCGCGAGTGCCGGTGTTTTCCGAACGGAAGGAAGGAAGGAAGTCGGGGCCTCCCAAGGTCACATCCACGGCCCGAGCAGCGCTGAGCGGCCGCTCGCCATCCGCGCTCCTCGCGCGCCGAGGCCGAGCGGCGTTGGCGAACTGATCCACCAGGGCGATGCGCTGCTGCAGCGAGGCCACGCGCTCGTCGCCCTCGCCCGTCGCCTCGGGCAGGTGTCACACGGTGTCACGAGGGGTGACGGGTTTCCAGGGTTGGTCACCAGGAATGAAAAAAACATTAGCACTACTATTACATATTGTTATTATCATTATTATTGTTATTATTTTGTATTTTTATTGCTATTATTATTATTGTTTTTGATGTTTTCTTCAAACCAGTTGCTGATAACCAGTTTGTTGTTGCATCAGTCCAGCTGGCCGACTGCTCACAGCGCTGGAAAACTGGTGTTTCATTGGCCGCTGTTGAGAGAAAGATCAGAGTTGGCTCTGTTGGGGTTCTCTCTTAAGCATGCTGGTACTTTCTCACGTGAGAAAACACATTCATTACGCAAAAAACACGGTCAATGGGGTGGCTGTGAGCTCCAATGGCGAGGTGTTGAAGGCAGGTGGATTCAAGGATTTAAGTCATGCAACCCTGATTGATTGAGAAGAAAGGAAGACTAAACCATAAGGAACCGGGAATGACCCCCAAAACCATCGAGATCTCTTTTTTCGGATCCAGCCATCCTCGAGCGAACTCGTCGCACCCCACAGGCCTTGGTCATGTACTTCAAGGCTTCTCGCAGAGCACCTGCAGCCTGCGAGGGGTTCTCTGCGGATGGATGCCAAGCGGAGCAGAACCCGTTCTGGCAGAACCCTGCGTGGATATAATAGGATAGCCATTACCTCATGGCATGGGTGAGACTGGATGAGACCTCGAAATCTTTGGCTCATGGGAAGCATTGGGATATACTTTTTACAGAAAGGGAGAAGTGAATGTCTGGAATCTTTGAAGCTCTTGCAGCTTGAAGAGCCTCAGGTGGAGCAATCCACAGAACTTTGGGCAGATGCTTCCGGACTCGTGCCGCCACCCACACGCATTGGGACGCCTGGAATGTGTCAACCGCCTGAACCGAAGAAGTCAGTCCACATCTAATGGGGATCAAGGTTAGACTCCAACTGACTCTGACATGGAAGAGGATGCCATGGCCCCAAACACCAGGGAGTTCTATTGTCCACCTCTCTCATCACATCAGAGATATAGATGGTGGGTCAAGCAGAGGCAAAGAACGGACGGCAGTAGATGGACCGGACCTAGGGCACAAGAACCCATCTCTTCCATCCCTTTCCCTCCAAGCTTTCTCCGTGCTTCACAGCATCCACGCAACTTCCGTGTCCGCACCAGCTTCCAGGCGGGTCCACGGAGGTTCATCCCGCCGCCACGGTCGGGTCGTGTACCGTCCATCGCGCGGAAAGCGGGTCGTGTACCGTCCGCGCGATCCACCGCGCCTTGTCGTAGTCCCGATACTCATCGATCTCCACCTGGGCACAGGCATCGTAGAAGGCGGCCAACTTGTCCCAGGCTTTCGCTTTACCTCGATCGGTCGCAGCTGCGGCCCGCGGCCCGAAAAGCGTGACTCGGATGGACCCAGGAGGCCCAACCGAAGAGCAAACGATATTAGACCTGTCTTCCTCTTCTTTCTTTGTTTCTAATAGCAATGGCTGGCTACCTACTAGCAATGGCTGGCTACCTACTAGTGATGGCCTCCAACTTAATTGGAATTGGGAGAGATGAAGACCACTGTTGGATCCGCCTCGGCCATGGAAGATCCGTTCTGAACATTTCTCGACTATCAAGACACCCCCTGCACCCCTTGAATTGAGCTCCCAAGACACTTATCTCACAGGAAACAAGAGGTCGCAACAAAAATCACAAAACAATCCAGGAGTCACATGGAGTTGGGTGGTGTGAAACGTCCCCTGGCTGGCCAGGGGCTCGTGGATGTGACGTGACAGGAGCACCCCGACGGCACTCCCTCCATGGATCGCACCCCTAAACCCTAAACGTACCCGTACGTGATTGCTGGATGAACATCTTCGTACCGGACCTTTTCCATCCACTCGGACCTCTTCCACTTGGACATCCGGCTTCAGCGAGGAGGGGAAGGGTTTTTTACCCAAATCGGTCACCGATCTGCCGGGAGTCGGATTCCGAGTCGGAAGATAGAGACGTCTTCCCATTCGGATTAAATGGAGCAGATATGGCATGGTTGGATCGCATGGTTGGTATGGTTTCCGAAGTCAAAAGACTGGCTTTGTAGTGTAAAAATCCATAGTAACACATCATGGTTGCTCGCTTAGCTAGGTCATTGACATTCGGACTTGTGCGATTGTTCGATCAAGACACCATTAAACCGTTCTTCGAATCCTAGCGGGTTGGCACCTGGCGCCAAGGGCGTTTTGCAGTCTTCGCTTTCTGGACCACCTCTGCTGAGCTGCTGTAGAACTGGATGATGTTCTTCATGATCTCCTCGGGACGAATCTCCCAAGAAGCGGCGGGGTGTTCTCATGGTGCTCACCAAGGGTTCCTGCCTTTCAAACATAACATGCTCTCAAAGACTTTTGTGGAGAAGACCCGTCACCGAATCTGCTGACGAGAGGCTTCAAGCTTTTCTTGATGAGATACTATATACATCACATCTATTATACAGTATCTTCCCCTGAGGGTTGGTACAAATGAACCACCACGTTGAATAAAAACAGTGCCCCCACTTGGTGCCAGTTGATCGTGAACACTAATTAGCATGTAGGCCCCTACCCAAACACTGATGGGGCCAAGGAGTCCTCCTATGTGCTTGAGAGACTCATCTATAGCTGCTAGCTAGCAGCCGCAGGTATTTTGTTGCCCAAGCACCACCTGCACCAACTCAACTCGTTTTCCGAGTCTTACATTCCTCCCAAACCCGACCCAAAAACGCCACTTCCGCACCAAGGGTCTGGGTCGTTGTGCCAGTCCAAGCTCTGCAAGTAGTTGCCTGATGAGGGGGACACCACACGGCGCACAGCTTCAGCTACTCATGGGCCGACGAAATCGGGAGCGCCGGCGGCCACAAGAAACAGCCTGGTGGCCCCGGGTGAAGCCTGGTGGCTGAACCTGTCACTTGCTCGTTTGCTGAACCTCAGAAAAAGTCGAGCATGCCCTAAAGAGTTGTCAAGAAAGAAGAGCAGGTCGCATTGGGACTTTCTCACATTCTATTTGTACGAACATGTATGGACACATATCCTACAACATGCGGCCAATCATGGCATTTCCTGCATCTGGGGTCGAATTGCCAGATCTTTTCCTTGCACCGTTGAACATCCAGTTACAACCGGCAAGCATGTCTCCTTTACCCCTTCTTGCTCTGGCTCGTCTATGAGCAATCAACTTAGTCCAACTCCCAATACTGCCACTCCTACTACCATTTGGTGGACTCTGAGTTCACCCCCTTTTTTCCATAGGATGATCCTTACTCACTCAAACCTTTCGCCATGCTTGGCTTGGCTGCTTGACCCTCCTGCCTGCCAAGATGTAGATCTCCGGCTGCCGCGCGGTGCCGGCGAAGAAAATGATCTTCTCCTCGTGCGGAGGTCAACCAGTCCACGACCATGCGCGGACCGCTGCGCGGAGGTGTGCCTTCAGTTCTCTTTGCATGTGACGAAGAGGAATGCCGAAGAGAAACCCGGATGAACACACCACAAGGAGGTTTTGGTGCTTCAGTCTTTTCGAGGCGATCATCTTGAATATATGGGTCCTAGCTGTACACTAGCGGCACCCTGACGTCTCTTTTTTTCGGTCATGAACGTCCGACCTTCCCGTGTTTGGCTTGGTTTGAGGGGCGTCCGACCGAAGACAGTTGCTTTTAGAGTTTTGGATCAGGTCCACATCGACCTCCTTTTCTGCAGTCGACCTTGTTAGTCTTGTGACACCGCGGCCAACGCCAAGCAATCTGAAACAAATCGACCAATCTACTGGCGTGCCCCCCCCACAACGAGGCCTTCCCAGCACCAAGGCCCGCGCTGTATCGTTGCTGTTCAGCAAACTCTTCATGGCTTTCAACTTGTCGCCCGCCTACGTGGCTGGAAGCCCTCGCTTTTTGGGATGGAGCCCATTGCTCTTAAAAAGGAGTTGTTGGAGGCGAAGAGCGAGTCGGACACCAAGGACCGGTGGCCGACGCCTCGCGATGTCGCCATGAAGCTCCGCGATGTCGCGATGTCGCGATGTTGGGTGACACAACAGTTTGGACGGGGAAAAGGACACCCTTAGAAGTCGAGCTCGACGATACTTTGCCCATGTGAAGCCGGATCATTTCAGGGAGTGTACCGCTACCGGTCCTAGCTTGTGGATAGTTGGTTGATCTCTGCCACCGAAGACATCCGTATCCTTGCCTGTGGAAAGCACTCAAGACGTAGATTGAAAAGACTGATCCTCAAAGAGCGAGATTCTCTTTGTTCCATCCCTGACGCCTTTTTAGCACTCTCTGTGACTTCTCTACCTGTTTTAGACCCTACTGATTCACAGCTACCAAGGACCCTCCAGACCTGTTTTCAGGGTCCAAAAGCCTGGCAGAGCGGCACAGAAGGACTTGAATTAGGGTGATTGGACCCTCCAGGTTGATCGATCTTCTTGGAAAAAGATATGGCCACTGTAAGACCGCGGTAAGAACTGATAACAGGAAGACGAAGCTTCCCCATCTTCTCTTCTCTTGGCCCAATATTCTCATGGATTCCTTCCTCATTGCACCAACCCCCCCCAAATCCTTTCACTGCGGCCTGCGTGAACTTCTTGCACGCTAACTGGAAGGAGCCCTGCTTTCGGCACAGCTTCCCGATCTCCTGGTGGTGTCGACACTCGGATCGGCGGTGACCGACAGGGTTGACCTACCGACACCGAAGAGGGGAGAGACATGTTCAGAGGGTTGACTGGATCTGACTGGTGCGTCTCGCAGGGAATGAGGGTGGCTGGATCTAATGAGGGAATGAGGGAATGGCTCAATTCCCTTATTCCCTACTTTCGTCGCCCACCGTGACCGGACCACGTGTCGGTCGAATTCGCGGGGTGACCGACCGGGGCGGGTGACATGGCCGAACGGACCCGACGATGAAGCCGATCTCCCGCGGGTGGGCGTGCTTCCGGGTCCGAAAAAAAGTGACCGTTCATGTGAAACGAGTGCCACCTTGAACATCAGGCACTTGTTTCTAATAGCTTCTTGTTACGACTAGTAAGGCACCTGTTACTACTAGTAAGTCACTTGTTCCTAGTAGCTTCTATAGGTGAGTCCAGTATAGGTGGAATCAAGACATGGTTTTAACATCGACTTTGCATGGTGCCCAAAACATCTGAACTCTTAATTTGGACTTCATGACCAATGATTCCCGGGCCCCCCCCTATTTTCGCCATGGAGCCTGTCTCTCAAATCGCCCACATCCTACGCAACCCAAACCGCTTCAATTCGCCAAGCTCGGTAGGTAGAACTCCAACTTCTGCGGTTCAATCGAGAGATCACTCCAAATGTGCCCACGTGCCCACGAACCCACGTGCTCAAGACCTCCGAGCGGTGCGGTGCGGTGCCTGCAAGACCTCCGAGCGGGCCGCTGGGTCCATGCTGTTCCTCGGGGTCGACTCGGACCGCGGGCGCCGAGGACCGGCAGAAGAGTTCGAGTCACATGGGTGTCGCGGCAGGGTGCTGAACGAAGGAAGTCCAAAAAATCCACGAGCCCTGGATGGGACTACAAAACCATCCAACTCCATGTGGCTCCTGGTTGAGAGATCTGTCTTTTTTTTCTGGGTGCCTTGGAACCTTCTTCACTTTCAGGTACTAAATCTTTTGGTGGGAAAATGGGCTTCATCGAATCATATTCAAATCACACGGTTCACGAACCAAAATAGAACAGTCCAAGAACAGTTGAAGGGGCACCCTGCCCCCGATTTTTGGGCGAACCCACAGTCAAGCATCTAATTATCACTTTCCTCATCCCCCTTTCACCTTTCAAAGTGAAACTAACCAATGCCAATATTCAATATCATCATCCTCAAATCAAGTTGGCTCCGGTCACCCCCGTCCTCCAGCCCTTTGGCTGCTGTCTCTCCCGCCGTCTCTCGCCGCGTTCGCGGCCAGCGGCTTCTCTGGGGTCATCCGCTCGGCCATCTCCTCGGTGATCTGCACATCGTGCTCCGCGCAGAGCTGCACGGCACGCTCGAACTGCTTGGAGATCGAGAGCAGATGCACCGCCTGAGGTGATACATCGCCCGAAACCCGGGGCTGGATGTTCTAGGGCTCCAGTCGTACCTTCTAAGAAGGTGTTGGGGGTGGGTTTAGAGGGTCCAGTCATACTTTCGGTGAAAGGGCTGACGACGTCTGGTGGCGCCCGAACTCACGCCGCAGCGGATGGTCTCGGTGACCGGTGACGCCGAGGAGCTCGGAATTCCCGGCTCCGGACTCGTTCGCAAAAAGAGAACGAAGAACCGGGGAAGAACAGGATCTGGATTGGGGGACTTCTGTTCTGGGGACTTCTGCAGAATTCTTTCGTGCCGTGAGATATACCCCCCCCCCCCAGTTCTTTCAAGAGAGACGCAGCTAATCTGACTGGTCGAGCTATCTTCTTACCTGGAGATAAGCTTGAAGATCGGGATGCTGAAAAGATTTTTAAATCTCCACCTAGCCCTCCACCGGTCTCGGGATAGGGATCCTCTGGGGTAGAGCTACCGTCGGAACATTCGCTCTTTTGATATCAAAAAGACTCTCAAAGAGGTACGGCTGCACAGCCAGAGGGGTAGGTGCAGCTTCTTGATCGATATTCTTCTTCTCAAAAAGACATGGCTTGGTGCGGCATCAAACCTTCGCGGTGGACCAACCGACATGGCCCTTCCGGGAACGACCGAGCGACCGCACCAAGCCGTCGCCGTGTTCGACGAAACAAACATGGCTTCGGTACAACATCCTCAGGAAAACTGGTTCGGCGCCTTTTCAGAAAAGGTGTGTTGGAATCCTCTATAGGGTGAATCTTGTTTAAGATCTCGTGTTTCTTTTCGTCCACCTTGCGCCAAGTCAGCCAAGTCTCCCTTAAAGTTCCATTACTGTACTAGTAGCTTCTTGTTCCTATATAGTAAGAATGCTACTGAGTATTACTAAGTAGTAATGCCCTTGGTTACTGCCCAGAGCTCCGTTCTACTCGTGCTGTGCCACTTTCCGAACCGCCCTTCGGTCCCCGGCCTTTTCGTGCTGCTCGTGCTGCATGAAGAACTCGGCGCACTTCGCCAAAATCGTCGGATCGCCTCAGAGATCCGACCGACCCGAGCGACCGCGGTTCCGGTGGGGCGTGTACAAGGGGGGGGGATTGAGGGTGATCGCATGGAAAAGAGACTGAAAAACATCAGCTAGAGTTTGAGGGTGATCGCATGTGATCACTGAGCATTTCTTTCAATGGTCCGTTTTCTTTGCCTTGGCGTGCTTCGTTGAAGCGGCCGGATCAGAAGATGCACCAAGCCAAGCCGGCACCAAGCCAAGAGCACAAACCTCTTCCCCTATGGTCAGGGGATTCACCCACGGAACCGAGACATCATGGCACTTTTGTCCTGCTCAAACTCTTTGGGTGTGGTTGGTATGGTGCAATCTTTCATGTCCGTAGCGATCTTCGCAGACAGCCGGTCGACGTGTGGATGCATATTCAACTGCTCTTCGGTGTAGAGGCTCAAAGCCCCAAGCTCTCCCCAGCTCGATGCGCCTACTGCTGTGCAGGCAGTCCTTTTGGACTGAAAGCAGCCATCTTCCATCTTTGCCGTGATGATCTGAGTCTGGGCATCAGCCTCATTTATCCTCCCAACCACACGCGGGTCGATCCTCCCGCGCCTCCGCTCCGCTCCTGGCTCTGCTCCTCCGCGCGCCGGTCGCCGAGGCGCTTTCGGCGTTGAGCTCGTCGCTGATCTTCCGCAGCGCGTCGAAGAGCCGCGCGGAGAAGCAGAGCCTCGGGTCGAGGGCCGGTGCCCGTCTGCGGGGTTGGGGGTCCGGGTACGCGGTCGCCAGCATCCCAGTAGACTCATGCTGTGTACATGCTGAGACTTGAAGTTCAGATGACACATGACCCGACACCGCGAGATCCGGCCCCCCCAAAAAAACCGACACCCACGGAGTAACTGCTCCAGTTCCACCGTGGAAACCCCGCTTAAAAGCAAGGTGCAACGATGTGCAACGATGTGCAACGATGTGCAACGTGCTCTTCATCGGCTGACTGCGGAGACATTGGGGGCCCAACTAACATGGGAGTACTCTCCGAACTCACATGGGTCACATGGAGTTCACCCCCCTGTTTGGTGAATGGTCTTCCTTTCGGGGTCTATGCCATCCGCTGTAATTGGTTTTGGAAGTGAGACACGCCGCACCAAGAGCCCACGAATTGGATGCCACCAGGCTCTTCAACGTGAACCAAAAACGGCTCTTCAACCGATGTCCATGGGACCGTTCCTCCGATCCACCGTCCGTCCGTCTGCCGCGCAACTCCAGCGCCCTCTTCTGCTGCCCACTCTTCTGGTAGAGAATCACCGCCTGTTTTTGGGGGCGATTTCCGAGCGAAGTCGGACTCCGACAGAAGCAGTTTTCGGGGCGCCAGCTTCTGCGGTCGCCTAGTTCCCTAGGCTTCCGTTTTGACCTGGTTTTTTGTGGTGTAAAACCCTTATAATAGTTGATTCGGGATGACCCGCCTATTAATGGTTGGCCAGGAAGTCTAGGGGCTTGGTGCATGCGTTCTCTCTTCGGTCCGAGAACACCGAAGAAACCTCCTCTAGATGGGTCACCAAGCAGCATAGCTTGTGCTGTACATGCTGACAGAAGTATACGTGCTGGTTCAATGACCATATTTAGGACGCCACGACTGGCGGGTCGACTCGGTCACAGCTTGGCGTCGTCGAACTCGCCACCGACGTGCGAACGGTCGACGTGTTCGGCGACTCCGTGCGACGGCGGCACGCCGTGCGCTCTCCAACCTTGGACCTGTTCGATCGACTCCTCCCCCGAGTGTCTCGAAAAGGACGCAAAAGCGATGTTGGACAACAAGGAGCCCGGAGCCCGTCGAGCCAAGCCCGGAGGCTTTCCAAAACCTGGATGGCTTTCCCCCATCCCAAACCATCCATGGGACTGGCATATGACCTATGAGGTGGTATCAGGCATGAATAGAGGCATATATGCCATACATGGAGTCAACGGGCCATGTCGAGGCAGCCCAAGCGCAGCTCGGCCTTGGAGGGTTGTCCCTTCTGCTCGTAGTACTTGGCCGCTGCTGCCATGCTCTGTGGGTCGCTCGCCAAGGCTAAGCCTCGGAAAGAGGATGGCACGGTGGCACCAGGACCCCCAGTCGGGGTGGTTAATGGACACCCCGAATCACAGCTAAGGGGCTATAAATATAGACAAGCCTTGGGGGGTCCTGGTAGATTTTGTCAAGTCCTCATGTCGTTGTCATCCACATGTCTTCTCTCAACAAATGTTGCATCACGTGGGATGACCATGTTCCTCTACAAACAGGTGGTCTTTCACTTCCAACTTAGATATTAACTTTTGTTATAGATGTTTTTTCCATTACAACGCTAGCGGCTTAGGTCACAAATAGCGAGAATGTCAAAGAGTTTATTTCCACCGTGCCCTCTATAGAAAGACTAAGGTCCCGCGCTCATGAGGTCTCCATCATACTGGTTCTCCTGACAGTCATGTGAAGGCTCTGTTTTTGGCTTGCTGCTTCTGAATCTCGAACAAACAAACATCCCACCAGCTGCGGTGAGGTTGAAGATGCTTCAAAGGTCTTAGCAGCATACGAAGCCAGCAGAGTTTCACCAAGGGTTCTGACCCGTCAAAAGACCCGTTTCACACGACGTGGCGTCCAAAACCGCCTGTCTGACGTCCTTTTTTGGGGGAATCTTGAACATTGTGAATGACACGCCAAGTGCCACGCAGGCAACGAAACTCCTCAGGTACAGTGAGTGATGAAACATGTGCCTTTCTCCTTTAAGTGAGGGACGTTTCTCAAGGTATATTGCCTTGGTCACCATGCTCTGTCGGTGGCGTCCCGTGTCTTGCTGTCACATCCCCGTGGCGCCGCCGCTCACCCCGGTCCGGCGGCCGTCGGAGTCCACGAGTCAAGTACCAGCACCGAAACCACCACCAGGTCTCCGAACTGGAGGGTTGGGAAAGGCCCTAACTAGCAGGTTTCAAGGTTGGTGACCTGTGAAGTCGGTGCTGGTACCTGACTTGTCCTTTCACTGATCGAAAGCCTTCAAATCAAAACGTCGGTGATCGCGGGACAGTTTTCCATCAGTCTTCTGATCTAAACCCTTTAATTAGGTCACGGATCAGTGATCCAAACGGTCGAAACAACTTTTTTTTACCAATGATTCAGTGGCGACTTTAAGATTTGGATACACTTGGTGAACTAGGGAGGATTGGGGGAGGATAGATTTGGGAGGATAGACTTTAGATAGATTTACATCATGAAGTCCGACCATCACTATCCAAAGAGGTGAACCAAAACAGTGGGCACATCCGCTTTCAACATCTTTCAACCAAAGTGGAGGTAGGATTCAACCCATGACTTGGATTTGCTTCAAGTCCTTTGGAACCTCTCTGCTCGGCTCGACCACTTCGAACAACGAGTCCGTGCGGTCTGCGCCGTCTGCGCCGTGCGTGTCCCGCTCGCCTGTGCCAGTCGGATGGCATGGGAAGCACGACCCGCCATCTGGAAGTAGTGCATCGCCTCCTTAGGGGCCGAGGACGCAGGGCTCACGTCTGCAGTGCATCACGAACCTGACTTCTGGTTTTGGTCACCTCATGAGCCTTCGTTTCAGCACCTTCTAGAATGGGTTCTGAAAGAAGGAACGGGTCTGGAAGGCCCTGTAGGAGAAAAGCTCCTTCTTTTCTTCAGACCAACAAAAAACACACATGCCTGCAGTGTCTGGTGACGGGGTGCCATCCATGGAGGAGCTTACGGACGCGTGGTGCTGTCACGTCACAGACCCACGAGCCCCGGTTGCCACACCACCCAGGCCCTCTATGTGACTCCTGATGGCTACTCAACCCGGGTTCGGATGAGGGGATGGGAAGGGCTGGCCCATGGTCCACCAGCTGGGAAGAGCCACCCCCAGCCAAACCTCAAGATGCATGAGATGCTTCACTGAGCGCTCACGTGACACCACTCAATCTGACTCAGTGAAGCTCAAATATCTGGCTGCAAACACTTCTGCCCCGTTATAATCCTTTTTTCGGGAAGACCGGTTTCCACGTGGTCCTCGGTCCGGGCCTTGTCGAAGGTCCGTCGTCCGTGTCGCGTCCAAGAACTCCGCTCCCCACGAGCAACGGAGCGCCGGTTCCGGTTACGGAGCACCAAGCGACTTTGAAGTGCCCTGCCGCTTCCAAGTGCCTCGACGTTCGACGCGCTCTGTTCTACATCTAGCGCGCGACCGTCAAAGGTAAAGGTGTGGGATGGTGTCCCCTGTTGAACAGGTGCAGGTTGCCATACTCGTTGTCATCTGAAAAGTGTCAGATTTTGGTCCAGGGGCGAAGCACCCAAGGTCAGTTCCGGACCGGCGGGGTGTCGGGCGAACGGACCGAAGGGTTCGATTCACCGTTGCTGCAGGACTTCTTGTACCCTTGAGGTGTCTGTCTATGCCAGTGGTCGGGGGCCGCTACCTTTCACTCCAGGTGGGCATCACGACAGGTAGCTAGCTCGAGGCGAAACCACACCTTTTGCTCGAGCAATGAGCGACATATTTGATCAATCACCTTCGAAAACCAACGGGAGGTATTCATTCATCAGTGTCTGTCAAATCCCAAAGGAATATCCTTTCGGAGCCAAGGAACAAAAGGAACCCTACTTCGCCATACGCCCTCCCGCAATGCCAAGCAATGGGCTTTCCGGCCCGAAACCAGGTACGCGAGTCGGATGGTTTTTAAGTCATTTAGCTCGGACCTCTAGCCCTCCCGCAGTTCCCCCCCCATCTGGTCCGCAGCCGTCCCTCCGGGTCCCTCCGGGTCCCGCCGCGCTTGGCCTGGCCAGGTGATAGCAGGCCGCCTGGTCCTGCGAATCTTCGCAGATCCGCTGCGCACGGTCCAGGTCCTCGTTGAAGCAAGCGACCTGAGGGATAGGGTGAGGTCATGGAGGGCCTGGTGTTGGGGTGTCTGCGGCTGGCTTAGACTTGAAGCAGCGCTCTGTGAGAAGTGAGTTTTATTGGGTTTGGACCTCACTTCTGAAGTATGAACCGCACTGCGAGGCATGTTTGTGTTAAAACTGCATGCAAAAGGTGGAGTGTGTTGATATTCAGAACAGTTTTTCACCCTCAAGTGTCACCGGAGAAGATTCTATCTAGCAATGGCTCATGCAGTTAGCGAGTCCGTAAAAAGTCAACCCCTTCGCAGTAAACAGGACCGCTGGTCTCGCCGAGAGGCACGGCAGAGGCTCAGCCAGTCATTGGCCTTCTTGTATTCTCGGGCCGCACCATCCAAGTCCTCAGATGGAGAAGGATTGATACAATGAATTCGTCTTAGTATAGAGATAGACATATAGACGATATAGTCCCTCAGAGTTTTGGAATTAGGCAAATTCTGGAAGATCCTACATTCCAAGATCATTCGACTCTGGGATCCTTGATCATCCTTGATCTCTACCTCTGAATCTCTACCGGCTTCTTGAAGCCGGTTCCTCCAGTCCCCTGCAGCGGTCCAGAGCGGTCCAACAGGTCGCCGAACTGGAGGGTTGTAAGGCCCTGTTGGAGGTCTCAATTGGTGACCTGTTGGAGGGTGCTGGTATACATTGGGTCTATCCTACCTGGGCCCAGTGGATGATGATGGTTCAGTTGCAGGCCTTGTTAAACAAAATGGTGATTTGCTTCTTTATGGGTCCTGTTACAGGTCAGAACGGACAGACCCTACCGTTGATCTCGCTCACCCCGTGTGACCTGAGGCGTGAAGGGTTTCCCCGAGCGAGCAGGGTGCAGCGGTGCTGCCGCTAGTGACATCCGAGTCTGAAGAGGACGAATATGACTGTACATGTGGGAGTGGTATGAGTTGGTCTCGAAATCCTGAGGGAAGGTCAGACTGTTGCTGACATGTCATGAGATGTCATGTAACATGTTCTCCCTATCAGGCTGGCTGTATAGAAGGAACGTCTAGTTTCATAGGATCTTAGAGTTTGGAGGTTCATCGATAAACTCCTCTACTGGTTGGCTTCTGCTTGCAGAAGGTATCAAACCACATGTCCAACACAGACTGGGTGGTAGAAGACCTGCACTTCGGTTTGCATGTTCCATGGCCTTGCAACGTTTACCACGGCATGACCTCTTAACAGAAGAACCGGTGCACAACAACCACACACCCCCCTTCGCGAGCCCCTTCAGCCCGCTCGCCCTTCGTCTGAAGACGCTCCGAGGGTCGGCTTTGGACTCCAGGAATTGCGCGTACCAACGATGGAGCTGGGAGTCGTCGCTCTGCTCCACGTAGTTGCCTGAAGGACGAAGAGGAAACGTTGGTAGAGATGGTGAGCGGCCCAGAGTCTCTGGGGGGCTGGTGACGCAGGTCGGTGGGGCGAGACGAGAGGAGATTCTTCGTTTTCAGCAGTCAAGGCACAAAAGGTGAGAGATGTGGGGGGGGTTGAAGATGGTGTGTTCTTTAGGAAGAGCAAGCAGGTGGAAAAATGATCTGGAAGTAGCTCGTTGATCAGCTACTCATCAAAAGGAGTTTTGTTAAGTGCTTACTCTTCTCTTCCAGGGTCGGTCGGAACGCCAAAGGCCGTTCTCCCTATTCAAACACTTCCACTTCAACCCTAAACCCGAAACCCAATGAAAAGACACATGGTTGAAAAGAACAGGATCCTGGTGTTTTCACCAGTGTTTGACTCGTGTGGCGCCAAGCACCCTATTAAAAGAGACCTATACTATACCTTCCAAACACTCAAAGCCGCTTTGGGCGACTCAAGTCCTCCGCCCAAGGGACTCAGGTCCTCCGTGAGGCCCATGGAACACAAGAGCCGCGGCGACTCCGTGCGATAGGTCCCGGAGAACCTGAGGACCGCGTCGCTCGCGCTGTCGCTCGCTGCCCCAGGGCCCCGGTGCTTCCGGTGGTTCCGGTGGTTGCGGGGTGAGAACTGGGCGGCGTCCGTCACTTCTGGGCGCTTTAGTCGTTGGGAGCACGAAGAAGGGGACCCGGGTGAAGGGTTGGGATCCATTGATGGATTGAAGTGATGCGACCGGACGTGGGATTGTATGGACTCAAGAGAGATGCGAAATATATACAAGGGATGGACAAGAGTCAAACAGAGTGTGTGACATGATCGAACTCTTCTTTTGGTCCTCGTTGACCTCAGAACATTCATTCGATTCAAAGTGCACCAGGTCTTTCCACTGGGTGTCTCCTAAGTAGATGCCTTCAAAGAAAGACATGCAACACAACACGGCATCATCATTGCCGCATTGACCACGGCTATGGTAAAAAAAACCTCACCAACACCGGCAACACCCCACCAAACCAATCCCAGACACGACTAATGGGACTACCATAGGACTGCCGATCGATTGACCCCCCTTTTCAACCACCCCTGGCCGTTTTGAAGGCAGTCCGTCCTGGCAGTCCCAGACAGGTCGTGTCTGGGAATGGTACACCCTGGAAGACGATCCCATGGACCCTGAAAACCGGTTGGTAGAGGAAAACAATCTTCCAGGGGGCCAGGACGGACGTCAGGGTCTATGTTGGTAGTAACAAGAAGCTATTAGAAACAAGTGCCACGCTCCTAGGAGCAAGAAGCTACGTTCGGGGCTCACGGCTCCTGGCCTTAGCTACTAGTAACAAGAACGCAATACATGGGAAACAGGAGCCTCCGATGTCCTGTGGCCACCCCGCCACCTCTCTCGGACCCACGAGTCCGGGTACCGGACCGGTCCAAGGAGACCAGGTCTTTCTTCGGTATCGCAGTTTTTTCGAATAGCATACCAATGGCATTTTGAGCTCACTGTCCTTTAGAGCTTTGAACCAAGCCATTCTTATATAGTTGGCATGGTAAGAAGATCCTTGTTAAGCTGCCAACCAAGAGCATCATCCCATGAGCCATGGCCGACAAGCTGGGGGAGAAGCTCCGGTTCCAAACCTCCTTCAAAACGCTCGAATGGTCGCTTCAAATCCCAAAAAACATCGTCATCAGAAATGCCATGACCACTGCGTGGCCCCGCCGGAGAACCTGCCAACAACCCTCGATTTGATCTGCTCCTCTCCAAGATGCTCGTAGTGGGTCAAAGCACCTTGGACATCTTCCAGGGCTTCCTTGGAGGATCAACCGTAGCAAACACCCGGTGGACGCAACAAACAAAACCATCGACGGCCAAGTAAAGCAGCCGGTCACCACACAACTTCTCACATTTGCCATCAAAATCATCCGAGAAAGCAAGCAAGTCACCAAGCAATCATGACTTCATTTCGTTCTGTTATATTTTGATTTCATTTGGAACCTTTGAAGTGTTCTTGGAATGTTCTTGGAATCCTTTCAAACCTTTCAAACTTCCCCCCACAAAAGCTGGGAATCACCACTATCCCCATCCAAGCTTCCAGGTGCTGCGCGTAGGCGTAGTGTGTGGGCTTCAGATGGATCCGATCCTGGCAGAAGTGGTGCGCAACCACCAGCAGCTGGGCGCCACAAGTGTGTGGAACTGCCAGGCCGATTTCTAGATCCTTACCCATTGGGGTAGCTTTTTCTGAAGTTGGCCACACACGTATTTACGGTACATTGTTACTACACCTGCACAAGCTGTGGAGGCCCCTTTTCGGAACTGACCATGGAAACTGGCAGAGGTTTGGGAACGCGGGCACATGGACCTGAGCGGATCCATCATCAATTGGCCAAGAGTTGTGCAATGTTGTTCGTACATGGATTTGTATGGTCCAGCCCAGCAACTTGAATTCTACTTACTAGTGACACATGCGTGACACCTTCTCCCTTCTAGAAGGGAGACATTGGAGAATCCCGCCCCCCCCCCCCAAGCGATGTTCGTTCCTTTTCCAAAGATCACCGCCCTGCAGTGTTGGTTTCAACTCCCAAAACCCTAGAAGTCCAGTTCGACTATTTTAGGCACTACCCAAGTGTTCAGGAAGTTCCTAAACTCGGATCATCTGGTCAGACCGTTTTTAAAATGACAGGGAAAAAACCATTCGTCAGTGAGACCAAACGAAACACCGGCGGTACATCCAAATCTCTGAAACCGCCGGCGACTCCAAACGACCCTTCCGGCTCCTCCAAATGTCCCCCACTTCCCCGCAGACCGGACCCTCCAACCAGACCGGACGTGGTTGTTTCGCTTTCTCCGCTTCGACTTCCTGCCTTGGTCTTCGCCACTTCCAGGGCCTTCTCCCAGCTGCCGCTGGCCTGACGAGGCTCAGAGAGGCTCGGCCAGCTGTGGCGACGTCGCTTTCTTTTTGGTCTCCTCCCGCCTGGAGTTGAGAGGGTGTTTGGGCTGAGGTTTTCTCTTTTTCGCTGGAGTCTATCAGTTGCAAGCTGGAGAGTTTCCGTGGCAGTCAGGTGGGAAGTCGGTGCAAAGAGGAAGTGGATTCAGGAAAAGAAGCAGGATGGAAGGAACTATGAATTCTGGACGTATCCTTCCCCCCTCCCTCTCTCTCCCTCTCTCCCTCTCGCTCACCTGGCATTGCGTGGCCAAAGGAAGAAAACGATCAAGCATGTCAAAGGGGTAGTCCACCACCCCATGGGACTGTTCAAGGGAGGCCCGTCGCCCCATGTCTCTCTTGACAGGCCCGTACTTACGAGCTTCGGGTACAAGAGCTTCCACTGTTTGTTCCTTCGGTCTTTTTGCAGCTGGTGCCCCCTTTCTACTTGGAAAACTTGAAGACACCTTCGTTGAACCCTTGTCAGCATTGCGCGCAGCCGTGACAAACATTGGGACATCAAGTCCTATCAAACCCTCAAAGGAACTCCCAGGAATCCGGTACCTTCGAATCAAAGACCACTGCTTTCCCGGGGCCCTTTCTTCTGTAACTACGCGAGTCACCACGGTTTCTCCCCCTTCCGTACCGCTTGTACCGCGGTCGACCGCGTTTTTCGACGGAGTTCGGGCCGGGCCTGGTAGAGTTGGTTCAGAAGATCGTATCCTCGACAGGCAGGACCGACCGACAGGACCGGTGTAGATCGGTGGGACGCACATCGGACAGTTGGAGAGTTGCGTGACTTCCTGGAAGACCTTGCCGGACCGTGCGAACGAAAGTAGAAATGAGGGGCGCTGAATCGAAATGGCATCAGACATGACCCCATTTCGATGCCCAGAGGCTCAGAGTCTGGACCAGTTCGCGGTCGTTTGGGATCTTGCTTCGGGGCCGAACGGGTCGCCCCCCCGACTTTCGTCGCAGCCGGATCGACTCTGTTCTGAAGCGGATCGGGGTGGATGATGGACGTACGAAGCAGCCCTGTGAATACATCATACGATGAGGCGCCCTTGTTGAAAGGACACATAGTCAGTAGGACTTTGAGGCGAAGAACCATACCACTTCTTTTGGGTATCCAATCCTCATGTCCCTCCTCCGTTCGTCCAATCCCCATGTTTGGATCCACACTTCAGACCGCGACCGCGACGAGGGATGGAGAAGACGCACCGGATTCACGAAAGGACCGATCCTCCACGCCCGAAATGAAGGCAAACTTCTGTTTTGGATTGGTCGCCCAGCTACTACCTTGAAGGGAGGCCCTAGCACATTGTAGGGACGGGGCTGTAGAGCTGCTATATAGGCTGGCCTGTGCTGTGTTTGCACGACTCGTGATGGCGCTTGATGGTTTTGGTCGTCCCTGTCAGCCGCATTGACACCGGTAACCAGTCCGCTGCATCCGAGGAGGATCGACATGACACCTTTTTTTTGGTGACATAGTTGTTAAACTTCACCCTATTTAAATCTGCATAAATTATGTTCACTTTCCTTTTTTTAGAGCATGTTTTTATGGTAAATTACCATCTTGGATGAACTGCTCGGAGTGCTTCCTTCGGGGGGGTGAGCGTTTCATGAGATTGCTCTTAGGCCATCGCTACGACCGGGGACCATACGACCGGAACACCTCGTGAGAAAACGTCGACCTTCGACCAGAGGCCCGGTAGAAGCACTAAAGGACACTCCATATTTATCGGATCCATGTTGTTTTCAGTGAGACACCCAAGTAAAGGAACCACCCAAGTAAAGGACACTCCAATCTTGTCGGATCGCTGTTAAGTGAGAATGTTGTTACTCTTGGACGCCTAGTATAGGTGAGGATCCATGGCCATGAGAACCGGAAGCCATCTTCGGCCTAGTGGAAAACACACCTGCTTCGACGAAAAGAACACTTCGACGAAGGATCTGCCACACTGCTTCAGCAGCTGTTCCTCAGAAGTTGCCGGGAGCGACTTGGAGATTTTGAGGCTGCAGAAGGGGAGTCCTCCAGGAGTCACATGGAGGGCCTGGGTGTGAAACGTCGTCCCCTGGCTGGCTTACGGGGCTTGTGGATGTGACGTGACAGGAGCACCACGGTCCGGTTTCCTCCATGGATCGCACCCCGACTTCCTCCATGGTGACTACAGGTTCGACTCGCCAGTTGTCGCAAAGCCCGGAGATCCATGTTCACATCCAATAATACCGGTTCTTGGCAGCACATATAGTATAACTTATGAACCTTTTACTGACTCAATGGTTGAAGAGGATTTTTGCATACTAATCAAGATGGATACTCAGCGCATACTAGTTGGCACTTGATCTACCAAACGTACAAAAAGCTGGGGTGCCTCTGGGGGTCAACTTCGATTTGCTTGAGGGGTGAGACCTTCTCCACCGAAACGCATGGGTGGATAACGGACTTCACCGAACCCTATGTGTTGGTTTGGGTCCGGATTCTTCGCGTCGAATGGTTTACTCCGTGTGGGATCATCCACATGCTTCACCTCATCTTCACCGTGTTCGAGCCCAAGAGCTTCACCAAACACTGCTACATGTCCACACGTCGCCAGGAATCGCCACCGGAAAGCCTTTCCCCAAATAAAGATGAGAGAGCAAAACAGAAGGGGCGCTTTTCTGCCAGTTGATTGACCAATTCCATCCACTCTTTTTCTTGACCACACTGCTCTGGCTGAGGAGCTCTACCCTTCCATGGTTTAGTGGGCAATTTACTTTCTTACCCAGACACGACCCTGGACCCGAATCCTTTGGAGGGGTCTGGGGTCGAACCAATCCCCAAGGTCTTGAGGGTACAACCAACATGTTTGTTCGAAAACGACCAACCCGGTCATCACAACCGCATGCGGCGGTCACGCCAAGTCACCGCATCTTCGATCATGTCCAAATGCACTGCCACGACGGCCAAGCGAGCCTCGCGCTTACCAAGCGAAGAGTCGCGAAGCGGTGTGCGTTGAATGGGAAGAGACGGGAGTGTTTCTGCAGTTTTCAGGGCAGAGACGTGAGGAACATAACGTATCTGGTTCAGTCTGGTTCCCATCCTCAGCTGATGCATCTGCACCATCTGCGCCATCCGGAGCATCTGAAAGTCGATATATTCGTACTTTCGTCCGTCCAGCTGTCTTTCGCTGGGCAAGTCGAGGTCTCTTTACGGGACTCGATCTTCGCCCTTCTGCCAGTTTCAACGCAGTTATGGCCGCCATAGTACGTTCATTCTCCTCTGACCCTTCGAGACGCCGAGAAAGGTCCAATTAGATCATTACATTCCGAAGTTGGTCAACTATGACCCAACCTCTCAACCCCTTCAGAACCCTTCACCCATCTTTCTTCGGTCTTTTGGGCCCAAAACCATGCCCTCCCCATCCTCCCAATCCAGGCCGGCCTCGGGCTCCAGCTCGTGGCACTGCCGCAACGCTCCGGCGGCCCGAGCATGGGACATCTGCCTCGGAGTGGGGGTGGCCGCGTTGACGCGGCTGCCGCCATGCGCGCGGGAGCGGCTTCGATCTACTCCTCCCTCTTCCTCCCCCCCAAAAATGGATGGTTAAAGGCTCTTGAGGCTTGGGGAGGTTGAAGTCTCCTCACCAGTCTACATATGTCTACATTTCATGACTCCTTCTTCGCTCCCAAATGGCTCACCCTTCAGCCAGGGCACCCCAGGCACTTCTGAGCCACGTCGAGGCGCCCCGTCTTCCTGGGCGCGTCGGCGGGCCGCGTCGTGTCAGTGGCCCTAGGCCTCCAGTCGTACCGAACCTGAGGAGGAAGGAAGGAGGTGTAGGGACCAGTGAACAGTTCGACTTCTCCAAGTAGGGGAAGTCCTTGAGATGAACACGAGTTTGGAAGATCCAGGTGTACCAGAAGCAGGTACAAAGCCAGCTGAGAGTCTCCAACACCACCGTCAATGGTGTACGTCTATTGTCCTTCTTTTTCAGTTGTACTGTCCAAACGCTCATGGACCCTCCTAACTAGGGGTCCGGAGCCGAACCAATCCCTAGGGTTTTCAGGGACCAGTCGAGCTGTGGTTTCGGAGCGTCCAACTCTTCGTTTCCCCAAATCCATCTTCGTTGGCCAAGGCGCACGCACATCTTGCTCATGCTCTCCCAGACGTTACTGGAGCGAACGCCCTTCACGCTCTTGTAGGCCTCGGTGTCCAGACGAGGCGGTTCGGTGGAGCAGGTCATGTAGACTGATGACATGGACCCCTCCCCATATTATGGGTGGGTATTTCAATAGGGAGACCCCAACTTTCATGGGTTTTGGGTCTATTGTCCATCAGCCCTGACTCGCGGGGGTGGGAGGAACTTGAAGCAGTGCGACGGTCAATTTTCCTTCTTCTAGGAGGTCTTTGGGAGGTCTCCCTATTTCAATACACACCCATATTATCACCTCTTTTCGGGGCTATAAATAGACATCCCTTCATGGCTAGAAGATGCTAGAAGGTATGAAGAGGGTTGACCACTGCCTGTCCATGAACCATCCAGCTCGGGCTTTGGTATAGACACGTGCAAGTTTCCTGTTCAAGGTCGAATAGGAAGACCCTTTCTGCTGAGACCTCCGAAATTGGGGCCAACTGCAGCCCCCCCTTAGCCTCAGTGCTTACGGAACAATGGCCAAACCACCATGGTGCCTGGTTTTGACATGCTTTGCACAGAAACAACACGGGTGCGTTCTCGAACGCTTGAAACAAAGAGACTCGGGGCTTACTCCGAGCCATGACTGACTATTCTCGCTCACCATGTGAGCGCAGCAATCCACTTAGGCAGAGAAACCGTCTTGGCCCCCAAACATCCTCTTTTCCGGGCTATTGATAGACACCCCAATGGCCGGGGGGAGCTCCCCCCAGGTCATCATAGTATTCCTTTTTGGCGAGGCAAACAGAAACTGCACTTGGCTTCGACGTCGACCACACACCCTTGTTGAACCGATTCCAATCCCCAGTCACCTCATCGGTGTTGCCACAGGCCAAGTGATAGGAGAAGTTCAGCAAGGCCGCAGTGGTCTCCTCATCCATGTTCCTCAAAACCGCGGAACCACCGGAAACCGCGCTGCGGCCGGCGTCGCACGGGGACCGATGGCGCACCTGGGGACCGAAACAGCGGGAACACAGCGGGGCGAGCGGCTTGGGCGACATGGCGGGGCGGACTTGGGGCGATGAGCTTCCTGATGCCGCTGTTTCTGGCGGTGTGGCTGGGACCAGCGTTCTTTCTTCAAACCCTAGGAATCCGAGAAACGCACCAACGGATAGGGTTTGCTTCGGGCCCGGACCCCTGCAAAGGTGTCGGGTCCGACATTTGCCATGGAGAGCCCAAGGATTCTGAGGGAAATACCTGGTTTTCGCTTCTTCTTCTTCTTCATCCATCTTCCCGCGGTGTGGTTTTCCGAGCCTGAAGGGGTGAACCAGGGAGGCTTTGCTTCGTCTGCGCAAAAGCGAAGGCGCGAAACACAGCGTCTACTCGTGCTCCAGACACACCAGGTGAGTCTCGTGGTGGGTTCCACCCACCGTTCTAAAGGAGCGATTCGGGCATCACCGCTGGGCGACTCGGACGTGGTTCCAATTTTCAAGTGGTTGTTCATGTGCCACTTGAGAATCATGACTGGTTCTTGGCATGACTGAATTCTACCACGTGGTTCCAATTCTCAAGTTGGCATGACTGGTTCTCAAGTGCCCCTAACTGGATCTTCATGCCATCTTCATCCCACAAGACCTTGGCCAGGGGAGCCAAGAGGATACTACCGCGTGGTAGACTTTCACAAGTGAATGACAGTTGCACGCGTGGCACGCTCCTTCTCGCTCCTTCTAGTTGTGTCAACGAAACATCATGGTTTCACCCGGTTTCACCCGTTAAGGTTCGAGGGAGGTTCACGCTCCAACAGTTCCAAAGGACCTCAATGCTCTGGGCACTCGGCACCCGACCTGTCGAGATAGATCCACCCGACTCCCCCCGGGTCCGGCTCGGAGAACTCCGGTGGAAAAGCGCATGCCGAGACCCTCACCGGCGACCATCCACGGTTGCGTCGCTTCCCGAAACCATGACAATGGCCGAAAGAACAGTCGAACCATGTTCATAGAACTTGCAGAGAAGTGTTCACAAAGGAAGACCTAATAGTGGCAAGAATACCAACAGCAGCATCAACCAGTCGAGTTGATGAACACCCGCCCAGCTCAGCTCGTTCGCGCGCGACGCGCGCGTAGGGCGCCAGGTGACTCGAGGCCGGCGAAGTCGCGCAGCACAGCGCGGGTGATGGGCGCCTCCTCGGCCTCGACCGTCTCCGTCGACTCGAAGTGATCGACTTGCGGATTCCGCGAGCGAACGAGGGGGCGGGGAATGGGGGGATGAACGGCCTGGGGCAGGTCGAGTGGGAAAAAACATGTCCCCAGTGGGTCTTGTTATTAATGTTTTTTTTTACAATATGTGCTTTTGAGCCACATGTTAAAACTCGTTACACCATAGTACAGCTCATTAGTCATTAGTCATTCGTCGTGTCCTTCCTCACACAACCACACATCTTCCCAATAGAAAGGCCCAACCCCCTTGTCACTATACATTCAAGGTTCCAAATCGAAAAACCACTCTTGGATGAGTTTGCCCTCAACATCTTGTTGAACAAAACTCATCCAACAAGGGAAGTCGACTGAACACTCTTTGTGCACCTCTACTTCTCTCCTCTTTGTGTCTTCTTCGCCCCCCCCCTTCACCACACGGCAGCCCTCCGGGTGGCACCGGGCGGAGACCGTCATCCCTCTCCAGGGCACGTTGGCCGTGGGGCGTGAGAAGTAGACGTAGGGCACGATGAGTCCCGCGGGCATCCGCGTGAGGCTGTGGTTCTCGGGGTCCAGACCTAGGACCGCGTGGGGCTTTCACTGGGGAACACTTGGGCCAGTTGGCCTCGAATACCACTGAAAAGGGGAATTGATGAGCGCTCACTATTTCAGAGGCATGCGAGGTGCAGGATGAAAGATTGTGTGGGTTTTTGCAAACAGGAGCTGACAAAAAAAAAGTGCGGCAGCCAGTGAAAATCACACCTGGACCACCGAAACACATCGAGCCTAGACTCCCCTGTCCTCATCGAAGTTCTACTTGGGTCACCGACTCAATGCTTGATTCGACTGTTATAGTGACCTACTGGGCAACCTATTTCAGCAGATCTCTTGCACTTCTACTCCTGGTGACCTACTGGCACCGTCCGGGCATGTGAGGAGACTCTCTGCCCAGGTACAGCTGATGCTGTCTTGGAGCAAAATCTGTTCGGCATTGGCAATGAAGAGGGTCATTGCCTTACGAAAAAGTGCGTTGCGCTTTCCTGTGGGCGAACCTACCAATATATAACTCTATCGGAATTTATGCTGGATCTGGATCACTAGATATAGAGAGACACATGAAAAGTATCCTCCTTGATTCATCAAAGCTTCAGCCGGGTCCCTCAACGGGTCTGACGTCCGACGTCTCATCCGGCACCCGTTTCGGCCAAACAGTCCCACGTGGTGTTGAGGAACGAGCGGCTGTTTCGCCCGTGACCGACGGGTTGGGGAACGAAGAGCGGGTGACCGAGATTGCGAGGAAAGAGCATCAAACACACCAGGAAAAAGGAAGGTAAGTCAAGTATGTATACAAGCTGTAGTAGCTAGGAGCTTACTCCCTTACTTCATCAAGTAGACATCTAGTCTATACCTACTAAAAGGGCAAAAAAGACAACCATTCTGCAGCATTTGTCCAACGGCTGGATGTCTCGATGACTCGCCACAGAGGCATTTTGTCCACAATGCAGATGCGTTGCACATGATACTTCAGTACTTACAGGGATCTACCCATGGTGCTGAATTGGTCTAACACAGTGTCATCAAATTATTAAGAACCAAATCACTTGGGGGCAGAACAAGCGCCAGAAACTCTGAATTTTTCAATATGGCACGTAATTTATTCTGATGGTCCAGTAGCGGAAATGTATTTAGGATGAAACAACATCCTGTAGGACATCTAATTCCCATATGCCAAAGTATCTTCATCCCAATTTCATTGCATTGCTCATAGCACACTTGTCGCCCTGATCATTTGTGCCCTTTCGCCTGTGTTGCGCTCCACTCCACGCAGGGTCGTTTGGGTTCCGCTGTTCTCACCCGCCAGGGCGGAACCCGTGCGCGGTCGAATTTGGGAGGTCTAAGACACCAGGAATCACCGAAGAGCATCCTTTTTGGGGGGTTTTTCTGGCAGACCGGAAGACCGAAACACCCAGGATGCTTTGATCTGGAACTTTCCGGTCGAGCAGAAAGCATTCTGGCTGGAACCCATATGTCCGTGCTTGAGATCCAAAGACACAACCACTCGTTGCAACTTGGGACCAGATCCGGAAACGGTAAACTGGCTTCAGACCGGGAGTTTCCAGGCAGGTGAAGTCCGAGAATCATGATGGTGTGGATAGGCATGGTGGTCCCGTTTAAACACAAAAAGCAGCGAACAGGGTGGTGAGGTTCCACTTCAATGACTCCTCTGAGTCTCTCGGCGGACCACGAACACGATGTTCTGCCCGTAGACGCGAATCGCTCCGCGCAGAACACGCCGAATGGCTCCGAATGGACCAACCAACAAGGGCACAAACCCTGAATTTTGTAGGTGTCTAAATCCTTAGTTCCCAGACACGACTAATGGTACTGGCATATGCTCCATACATTGATTCCCGATTTTCAACCAAACCCAATGTAGGTAACTATGCCAAACATGCCGTGTTTGGGGTTGCTTCGGTCAAGCCCATGAACTTGCTGCGGAGGAGGAGAATTTTAGCCCACGCGCGTTTTCACGCGCGCCGCGTCGAGGGGCTGAATGGCTGGGCGCGGAGGCGTCGTTGGCTTTGGGATCCGGTTGGTGTGGACCTAGTGAAGCAGCCGCCGCGAGCGCACGGAGAGAGTCTGCCGGTTCCGCGGTGGGTGGGGTGCCGTGTGAGTCGGACCGGCCCCAGCCCCAAACCGGCGGGTGAGAGGTCGGGCCCAGTCTGAAAACGGAAGGTGGCCTATCCATGCTGTACCAGGCCTATCCCTTCGATGTCTTCTGTGATCCCGTTCGTGCTTCGGAGTCCCAGGACACCGGAGGGGGTACCAGGTACGCATGATGCATGAGGTAGAAACCATATATGCCCGGCTGAAGTCCAGTTCGACTATATTTGGATCGGCTGAAGTAAATGAAGTTCCCTTTCAGGTCCCCTAGGTATGACCATTCTTTTAATAGTCTTTGACTCCCAGGGTATGGATATCAAGGGTTCTGTTGTTCCCCAAGCAGTGTGGACACACTAGGGGTTCTTACGGTAATGGTTAAGCAGCGGTGTTAGATTCGAGGTGTTGCAGGGTTCTGTTATTTTTTTGTGTTGGCCGGTCGTGTCAGAGCTTCTTTTCGGTCCATCTTCAGGTCTTGTTCTGAGGTCACAATTTTGGGAGGGCAGCGCAGAATGACGAGATGTCCAAACTAAATGTTCCGTGTAGGTCAGTTTGGTCTCCCTGTTCCTTTTCACTGAAACTCTCAGAGTTGAGAGATGAAGGACACATCTACGACTTCTTACAACATCCCTGCCTGCTTGGTGGTTTCAAGGAACACTCACGAACTTTCGCATCGTCAGTGGGATCAATCATCTGAAAGGTTGAACATCAAAGTATCCTCAAAGGCACCGGGTTGTGTCTCCGAAACCCGGATGGAAGCGAATGAAGACGGGAGCGCTGCCTAAAGCGGAAGACCACCGAGCTTTCACAGAAATCTTCGATTTCAAGAACGCATCACAATCAACTGAGGAAAAAATCAATGAACACTCCTTAATACCATTGGCAGTGGGTGACACCAGCAAAAACCCTGCATTCTGCCACCATCAATCTCCAGGGCAGGCCAACCGACCAGGGTTTGGAGCTCCAGGTATTTGACCCACTAAGTCACTAGACCCATCATGGTTCAGCGCTGCAAGTTGACAGAACACTGCTCAGCAGCTGGACCTAGCAGGTCCAGCGATCTGGGGAGCACCTGGACCTCGCCCTCAAGCCTGCAACCGGAACAGCTCCGCGTCTTCCAAAGACCAGTCATGTACCATGGAAAGTGGGTCCAACATGGAGCCCCCAAACAGGGCATTTCGCCCCGCAGATCGATGGAAGGCCATCGAACAAATGGATTCTCCATCGAACGCCGCCAGCCTCGTCCACCACTCAGGCACTATGAAATGCACCGTGGTTCTGCCAGGGCACAATAGGCCAATGCTTGTGGAACCACTTCACAACAAAGCAACCTGCCCAAACGGCCGCTCGTCGGCAAAGCTTGCACCCAACGGAAGGTTGGGAGCAGCACTGGTCACAGGAGCAAGAACGTACTGGTTGCAGTGGCGGTTTCTGGTTTCGACCGCGCAGGTCTCGCAGGTCTGTGGCAAGTGACCTCTTAAAGTCTGGGCACAAACCTGGCAGGGCCTGGCGAGTTCTTTTCGCTGCGTGACCCCCTGTAGATATTCAGTGAGTTGCGGGGGGGGAGCTTGCATGACCAGGCAAACTGGATGGACTCATCCCCCTAGGGCTCCAGTCGTACCTCTCTGAGAAAGTGTTTGGGGGTGCACTTTAGAGGGTTCCAAGTACCTTCTGAATAGGTAGGACCGGAGTGACCGGCGCCCTGAGGCACGACTGTGCCTTTTCCCTGTTTAACTGCCAAGTCTTCACCTGCATGTCCACGGCTTTCCCTCGGGGCGCTTCAAAATCCGTCGCGACTTCCCAGGAGTCAAATGGAGCTGGGTGGTGTGAAACGTCCCCTTACGTGAGTGGATGTGACGTTCAGGCACCTAACCTCCTTCCTCCATGGATCGCACCCCGTACTTGTGCCTGCAGGTGGGCAGAATTTCTTCGGTCTCTGGAATGGTGAAGGGGAAACAACCAGATCACACATCGACGGAAGAGCTGAGGAGGAAGCCCTGGTGAGCTACCAGCCACGCCCCACAAAACAAATTGAAAGACATCCATGTAACCATGTCATTTTCCATGGACTGCTCCTTCCATGGATTCAGAATCCGAAAACGATCCCAAAACATGCAATTGGTCGCTGGCCTGGAATCCGTGCTGTCCCAACAGTGCGCCACGGGCACGCAAGATTGACCCACCTGCCGCGGCGGCGCTTCGAACGCTTCGATCTTTGACGAGACGGTCGGTCCAAGAGCGATTGGACCGCGGTTCTTCCAGCTGAGAGGGCTGCAGCGAGTTGACGCTGGGCCAGCTTCGGCCCCAAAAACATGGCTGACTCGTGAGCTGTTTATTTGGAAAGACAAGGTTGGCATGTGGGTTGGGTCTTTTTGTAGTGTCCACCCCAATTAAAGGTGAGTAGGTTTCAACCGGTGGTTTCAAGTTGAAAGCGGGCGCGATTTTTTTCTCAGTAATCATCTAAAGATTGAACATGACCATATCTCATCCCCAGAGGCTCATGGACCCTCAAACTGCTACATGTTTGAGGTCCCAAACCCTGGCGAACTGTGGGTCAAAACCCGGACCGCGAACTGAGGTTCCTTTCTGAGCCTTTGGGTCATATCTTGAACCACCAGCCAGATAGGAGGTGGGCCTCTCTTCGGCCCTTCGACACCCTATGCCATGTGTGTTTGAACCACCGCTTTTGTTCCGGTGGCCCCACGTGGAGACAGACACGGCAGTGCTTCGAGGTAGTCCCCCAGCCAGGCTGCCCAAACAAGAGGGAGTTCTCAGTGCCGCCCCTGCATCTTCCCATCAAACGGCATTCTTATTGGGAATCGTTTTTTTCTTATGTCATGATGGCTCGTTTTCTTCTGCTGGAGGCTGGAGTTACTTTTTAATGCAGCTCTAGAGTGTGTTTTGTTTTTGTTAAAACATATTTTGGCAGTATATATTTCAGGCCAAGGTCTCTCAGTAAGATTCCAGAGGAAAGGGTTGTAATGAGTCTTAACTTCAAGAAAAGGGCACCTCTTGTCCCATAGACAAAGAAGATCCGAATTTCTCCATGCATCCGTGATCCAAACAGCCTAGGCAGGCGTTTCATTGACATAAACATACCATATAGTAACAAGTGCCACGCTAGTAGTAACAAGTGCCTTACTAGTATAGTAACAAGAAGCTAGTAGAATTAAACTTAACTTTAAATTGAATTTATAGAATCCAGAATCCGACTGGGCCCTCCATAGCAGAAGTCGAGACCCCCAACCAAAACTGTATGTGTTGCTTGCTTGCTCGGGGCCCGGATTCTGAGACTAGAACATATCGAGGCTTCCATCCTCCGCGCTGGATCTCTCACACCCTCCGCGCTACCGGTCACCGTCGATGTGTTCGTTTCGTGCCTGGTACTCCAAGAAGTTGTCGGAGTCCGTGTCGTAGACGAAGATCCGAGCCTCGTCCCGGGTGACCGGGGTGTGGACACCGGGAGAGGGTGGTCCGACGAAGTTCCGTTTCTCAAGTCTCGAAGATTTTCAGACTGGAGCAGATCTGTCAGAGGTGGAACATGATTCCTTCACCTTAGAAGTCCAGTTCGACTATTTGAGGCACCACCCAAGTGTTCAGGAAGCTCCTTTTCACTCCGATCATCTGGTCAGACCGTTTGAAAAAAAAGGTCGACTGGACTCCCAGAGTTCATCCGGACACCGATCCGCAGCCGGACACCGGAGCCGGCTAACCCGGCGGACTCTCCGACAGGTGGACAGCGGACTCTCGGACTTCCCAATGGATGGAAGATCAACTCATTCAGGAGATACTCGTTACAACACATTGACCCTTGAAATGAACCACCCCTCAATGTAGGCCCAGCAGGCCCGCTTCGCTTACGTGTGCTGACAATAGATGAAGATGCCACATCGGCCGGTATAGGACACGTGTCAAGAACACCTGCCCACCCCGCACCCCCCGCACCGATGTGATGCCGATCCCAGCGTCATCCGGGACCTTGAGCGTGCCCCTCTCCGAGGGCAAGCCATCCGCATTCAGGCGCTGGTCCACCAACAAAGAGACACGCGTACCATCCTGCATCGATCAAAGGCGACCGAATCTGGGCCAAATGAGAGGTGGTTTGGGTTCGGGTCCGGACCCCTGCCCATCTCAGGGTGTAGAGCTTGTCGATCAAACACCGATTCTTGGCCCCGACGGTCCATCCCAACAAAGGGGACCTTTCAAAGGGCAGTCATCAACAATGGAATGTAGTTAATCTGCGGGTAATTCATCAACAATCTACGCCATTCTGGGCCATTCTGGTCAAGGGTTTTATTCCATCGATTAGTGTGTGGAGTTTCATGAGTCTTGGATTTACCTAAGGATCTGGCAAGAGGAGCAATTCCTCCAATGCCAGGGGTTTCACCTTAGGAACAGTGGGACAGTGGGAAAGTGCCACCCTTTTTTCTGCATCACCCTTAACAGTGGGACAGTAGGGGACAATACACCTCACCCGTTTTCAAGGCCGCCGTTGACTCGCAGTTTTCTGCGCCTTGTTGACTCGTACTGAACGGATTTCGCCCAAGGGCTGCCTGGGACGCCGGACCGACGAGAAGCCGGAAAAACCTCCATCTGGTTTGACAGATTGGACTTGTCCCTCGCAAGTCAGAACGCAAGAGAGAGATGAAGGCGACCATTTTTTCAACCAGTATAAACGAAGGGTTTGCCAGCTTGGTCATCTCCTCCTCCCTTTCGCCAGGAAGGCCAAACTCTCGCTTCACTTGCAAGAAATTGTGCTTATGATGTCCTGCTCCAGGTGGATTGGCCGCCATTTGGTCCATTCGAGCGTCCCAATCCTGCTGCCAGCCAGTTTGTGCAGATGCATAGTGCTTGCTGGGTTTTGGGTCCGGGAAGTGTTTCCACTTGATCAGCTCCTGTCAGCTGATCTAAAGAACACGGCTTAGCTGGCATGGGTGGGAAGAAAAGAGGCAATGGCCTTCTGAAGGCCATCCAGAATGACCCTAAAATGGAGAACACATCGCAAACGAACAGGGGCGTGTATCCAGAGCGAGCAGGTGCATCATCAAGGTTCTGCTGGGACGTCTTCGTGCAACTGTAGCAGCACTGAAAATCCCACAAGTTGGGCTACGGTATGAAACCCCATTTATTGGAAGAATTACACCACCGTAGACCCCAAACAGTTTGTGTTTTTCAAAATCGAAACTAGAGCTTGCGACGTCCAGAGCTGGGAGACAAAGGATTGCAAGGCAGAGGCGGCCACAGCAGCCCAGAGCTGGGAGACAAATGTAAAGGATTGCAAGGCAGAGACGGACACAACAGTACAGAGCGGGTGGACACATCTTAAGAAAGAATTGAGAAGCCCTAACAGCAAACCTTTTGGGGAATTATTCTTCAAGTGCGAACATGATGCTGGTCATGCTGCCCAACCAGCGGGCAGTTGACCACGTGAGGACAAGAAACAAACGCATGAGGAGCGAAGGATGTGACATGAAATTGATTTTTGGTGCCTGACGTATGCCCTCCGTCCCAACTGAACAGAGAGATCGCTGCCACGCCGCCGAAATCCTATCCGGTCATTCATCCAACGCTTGCCCGAAAAGGAAAACAAAGCTGAGTGTTACACAGTGTGGTAGGAATGCAATCCCGGAGACAGTCACGCAACAGGTGAACCTGTTCCAGCCGACAGGGCAGAAAACAGCAGTGCAGGCACCAAACCTGAAAGACAAAAAGGAAAGAAATCACATGGGAGACAAATGAATAGAAATGCTACATGGCCAGCGGAAAAGGGCGGCAGCACCAGTGACAGACCCGGGAAACAAATGAATAGACATGCTGCATGGCCAGCGGAAAAGGGCGGACACCAGCAGTGACAGAGCTGGAAAACAAATGAATAGAAATGTTGCATCGCCAGCGGAAAACGAGGGACACCAACAGCGACAGACCTGGGAGACTAATGAATAGAAACGCCGCGTGGCCGACGGAAAAGGGCGGACACCAGCAGTGACAGACCTGGGAGACAAATGAATAGAAATGCTACACGACCAGCGGAAAAGGGCGGACACCACCAGTGACAGACCTGGGAGACAAATGAATAATTAGAAATGCTACATGGCCAGTGGAATGGGCGGACACCAGCAGTGACGCATCTTAAGAAAGAATTGAGAACCCCTAACAGTAAACTGTTTGGGGCAAAAGTTGGAGACAAATGCAAGGAAGTGGGAGACTAGCCGGCCGGAAACACGCACCCAGCCTGGGAGACAGATGAAAAGAAGTGGGAGACAAATAAAAGGAAGTGGGAGACAAGCCAGCCGGGAACCCGACCACAAGCACCCAGCCTGAGAGACAAATGAAAAGAACTGGGAAACAATTGAAAAGAAGTGGGAGACAAATGAAAAGAAGTGGGAGACACATGAAAGGAAGTGGGAGACAAGTTTGAAAGGAAGTGGGAGACCGGCCGGGAACCCGACTACAAGCAGTGGGAAACAAATGAAAGGAAGTGGGAGACAAGCCAGCCGGGAACCAGACCACAAGCACCCAGCCTGGAGACAAATGAAAAGAACTGGGAGACAAATGAAAAGAAGTGGGAGACAAATGAAAGGACGTGGGAGACAAGTGAAAATGGGAAACAAATGAGGGACCAGACCACAAGCACCCAGCCTGGAGACAAATGAAAAGAACAAATGAAAAGAAGTGGGAGACAAATGAAAGGACGTGGGAGACAAATGAAAATAAATGGGAAACAAATGAAAGGAAGTGGGAGACAAGCCAGCCGGGAGGAGATGACTGAGGGTCTTAAAAAAACAAGAGTTTTATGGCGGCAGGGTCCCAGGTGCCAGTGCATTCGGCCACCGTGGGGGTGAAGTGGACGCCCTGTGTAGCACAAGCCTGGGCCGTGTGCAGGTGAAGCTCTTTGTGCCGAGCGTAGGCTTCGGCCGCGGCCGCCATGCGCCGGCTCGCCTGAGCCAGGGTCTCCATAGGTGCGTTCCCAGTCTGACCCTCGGTGCGATGAAACCATGATTTTTTCCCCAGCATCAGCGCATAGAGAACTGACCCGCTTACGAGGTGCTCGGCGGCGCTAGCAGACAACTTTGCATCAGCAACACGCTGAGCGATGCGCTCTTCGGCTTTCCAAAGAGCGGCAACACCTGCCAAGGCTTCAGGCCCTTCGGCTGTCAGGAATCCAAAAGGTGACTCGCGGCCAAGGAGCTCGGCGTAAGCTCTCTGGATGCGGAGCGCTGTCAGAACAGCCGGGCTTGTGTAAATGCCCTCACTCGCCATGAACAGTCCCTCCTTGTTGAGCCTTTCGTAGACTCGTGCCATGGCAACACCACATGGCAGTCTGAACCGGGAGCTGGCAAGCCTTGCCTGGGCTTGTCCCACGCTGACGCCCCAAACGTTGCTGAAAAAGTAGTCCAGGATCAGCTCAATGTCCTTCTCGACGAAGGCTGTCTGATCCTTTCCTTGGGCGATAAGCTCCTGGATTGTTGCCGCGACTGGAAGGAGGCATAGTAGGATATATGGCACGTTGCGAGTGTTGGTGTCCTGAGATGCACACTGGCCAATTGCCGTTCCTTCTCTGAGTGCTGTCTCCCTTTCCTCCCATTCAGAGAACCTTTCCAATCGGGCAGTGTCTGCTGGTGTCAAGCCTAGCAGATTTCCTGAACCCGACCACAAGCACCCAGCCTGGGAGACAAATGAAGAGAACTGGGAGACAAATGAAAGGAAGTGGGAGACAAGCCGGCCGGGAACCCGACCAGACCATCCAGCACCAAGGCGACCATTCTTTAAAGCATTGAGAACCCCTAACAGTAAACTGTTTGGGGAAAAATGATTGTCTACTTGGTGCCCTGTGTTCGACGCAAAGGAGTAGCGCTTTGGCTCAACAATGGGTACAGCTGGAACAAGCCCGGGCCATACTTCGTGGGAGAGGCAAATGGAAGCCTTCCTTCCTTCCTTCCTTCCTTCCTTCCATGCATTCCATGCATTCCATGCTTTCCTTTCCTTTCCTTTCCTTTCCTTTCATTCATTCATTCATTCCGAGTCTCAGATCGCAGTTTTGGAGCGAAGCTTCGCAATTTCCTCACGGCTCAAAGCCTTGGCCGACTTGGCCTTCAACACCTTGCGGCGGAACACCGTGGAATGGGACTGGAGGAAGCCTGACTCTGCAAGGTTTGCCAAGCCTTGCGTCGATTTTTCGATCAACATCTTCACTTGCGTCTGCCGCACTCCAACAATGGTGTATAGCGAGCAAGATCCCTTCTCAACCTCCGATTTGTTCACGACCCGGCCGCGCTGCACACCGGCAAGAACGAGCAGGAGGGTTTTGGCTTCTGTCCCTGAAAGGCTAAGATAGCCGATGTCGTATGCTGTCAGAGGCGCAAATGCTCTCTGCCCCCCCCCCTTTGATTTGGTCGAAGAGATTTAGAGGAAGGCCGCACAACTTTGGCAACGCCAAAAGCACAATGCCAAATTTTCGAGGAATGTGAGTCGGATGGGCCGTCGCGGCGTTCTCTGCGTCTCCACGCATCAAGGTGACAGCGTAGTCCAAAGGCGCTCCGCTGCATCTCAGGATGGCGACGGAAAGCGGCCAAACCAGTGCAAGCGAGAATAAATGGTTCAACCTCATACCTTCAGAGGCTGACGCCTCGGGGCAGCACGATTTCGCAGGGGCCACCAGGGAGCTGGACAAGCAGGATGATGTACAGCGCTCTCCTGGCCAGGGACTTGGGACCCTGGACGGCAGTGCGGGACCTCCCAAAAAGGAGGGTGGGCGGCCGGATCGTTGTGAACTTGGTGAGCTACAGTACATGTAGTGCACAAAGGTCAACAACTGGGTGGGCAGGATGGACAAAAAGCTGAAGATCAAGATCAATCCAAACGGAATAAAGTCACCGGTGCCCTCGGACTCGCTGCAGGGAGCACGGCTACACTCAATGGTTTTGCATTTTGGTGTGGCTCTCGTCGGGAGGGAGCTACGCTGACCCCCCGACAGTCCTGGAGGCGCTGGCAGCGGCGTCTCTGAAGAAGAATCCATATCGGACATAAACACAAACGGGAAGGTAATGTAAGGCAGCAAAGCCGTCTTCAGCAATTGATGGTCGCAGGAAATCAGTTGGGGTCTATGTCTGGAGCGCAGTACCAAATACAAATGCCTTGGATTCCTCAACCCTTGGCAGGCCAGGCGACTTAGGTGGCTGTGGGCTTGTAGAGGCCAACTTTCGATGGCTTTCCCACATTCGCTTAGCCTGAGAAATGGTATTTGCCACATCTTTTGTTTGCCGCTTGTGCTCCGGGTCAAGCACATATGGGCCTATCACTGATGGAGGCCTCACATTCCCTGCAGGCATCATAGGTGGTGGAGGCATTGGTGGATGCATCCCAGGCGTCGTCATTGGGGGGAGGCACCATTGGAGCTGCAGGCATTGGGGATGTCATCTGAGGCATCATCATTGGTGGAGGCGACGGCATTGGAGCTGTCATCTGAGGTCCCATCGGCGGCATTGGGGCTGTCATCTGAGGCCCTGTCATTTGTGGAGGCAGCACTGTTGGACCTCCATGCATTGGGGCTGTCATTTGAGGCTCCATCGGTGGAGGCACTGGCGGCTTTGGAGGTGGTGCCCTTGGTGGCACAGTGGATGCTGGGCAGGCTGCCCGTGAAGAGGCAGGTGAGCCAGCTTCTGCTGCCGCAAGCTCATCATAATCAGCCGCATCTACCTAGGATATTGCCAATAAGTGCATACACTACCATATACCAAGCGCATGCACTAATAGCCAAGATACCATGTTCCGGGTGAAGTTCGACGGATCCTGGGTGTTCTTTTCTATCACCGTGGGTGGCTCTGGGGCAGATTCGCCACTTCTTCCAGCATCACTCTCTGAGGAGACGGTCCGTGGCTTTGCAGCTTTCTTCGCTTTGGCGCTTGCAGCTTTCACCTTGGTGCGAACACGTGCGTGCATCACGCTTGCACCTCTTTGTCATGTTGCTGAAATGGAGGTGCTGCAGGGTTCAGCAGCTGCACTGCGGAAGTGGTCAAGCAGATCCGGTTGCAGATCGAGGCAGACCCTGTGCCACATTTTGTACTATAGGCCCATTTGGCTTGGGCATCAGAGACCGCAGCATGTCCGGTCAAGAACTGTGTGTTGATCAGTGCGAACTGTACTGGGTCCATGAACGCTTTAAAGAATGAACTCTGCAAATCACTTCTTGCTTGGAGGGCCATGTACATTGAAGAGGCACTTGCTTACACATACTGTACACATATGTGTTGTGACAATGGCAGTCCCCATACCAAACGGATCTTCCAAAACCAAGCTTGGCAAGAACCCCTGGAGGTATCATATTCACCAAGTCCTTGCTTGTGTTGGGCGAGATAGAGGGCGAAATGTGGGGGAGATGAGCAAGTTTGCCCAGAAGACGGAGAGCGAGAGAAAGTGAGATGGGGATTCGAGCGAAGCCTTACAACACACGATGGTAAAGCCTTCACTGACAAACAGGACCTCTCTCTTCCGCTTTGCTGGAGTCTCCAAGAACCCACTTGTGGAACTGTTCTCAAAGAGGCTTCACCTGTGGGTTGCCTAGAAACATCTAGAAGCAAGTTCGACTGCATAGCTGCCATAGCTATTCCATAGCTTATCCCAGGTACACCGATCTCACAGAAGTTGCAGTGTGGACACATCAAAGCTAGTGTCCCACGAAGAAGATCTAGGATCCATAAAATGGAGAAGTATGTTGCTCACCTCTTCTTATTCGCACCGTTTTTGATGGCTTCCCCCAATGGCACACCAGTTTCGATATGAGATCTTAAGTGCGATAGGGCAAGCACAGGTACCCAGTACCTTGAGCCAAAATGGATTTCCATCAGTCCACATGACACAACGATGGATCCTCCAAGAGCTTCAGCCCTTGCTACGGATAACCAGCATCCGGCAGCATCCAAGGCTTCAACTTCGTCACCCGTGTCACCGCAAAATCCTGTAGAGTTGGGAGTTCTCAAAGAGCATAATGAACTTGGCCAAAAGGAAACAAGGGCCCAAACTCAGAAAGTGCACAAAAGAACAGGATGACAATAGCTAATGTGGCTTCTTGCTCTCTTGTTGGATACTTTACTACTATCCAGCTCTCTTTCCGCCACCATTTTCCCCCAAACAAAGCACCCACCGGCTGCGCAAACCCGGCTCACCGTGCCAACGCGCCAAACCGGGCGAGGAGCTCACTGAAGCCTTCGAACTTCCGCGTGGCGCCCAACTGCTTCGGCGTGGTCTTCGAGACGTTCCTCGCGCGGAAAACGCCGCTCCGCGCGAGTGAAGCGAGCTCTCTTGGGGGGGCAAACAGCAGCAAGATGCTGGGTTTGAGTTCGAAAAGCACTGGGTGGATGGAGGAACACCTGCGCCCAAATGCCCAACTTGAGACATAGAGAAATATCACCGTCGATCATGAAGGGGTCTGTGGATGAAACTTTGGGTGTCTGGAGTCTCCTTTTTGTCATGTCTTGGTTTCTGCCTTTTTGTGGGTTCTTTTGGCTGAGTTCATCCCTCGAAACCGCCGCCGACAATTGGTCGTCCGAGGGAATCCCGGCGTTCCGCAGGTCGGAGACCGGCTGGTCTAGACCGGCTGAAGACCGACGGTCGGGCGACTGACGTAGCGACTTGAAACGTTCCATGTCTTGGAATGTCATATGATGCCGGGAAGGCATTTGAGGTGAAAGCTCTGAAACAAGAAACGTCTCATCTTAGCTAGAAAAAACACCAAACCATATCCATGGTCGCCATCATCTTCGCAACAAAACACCTTGACAACGGACCTGTCGCCCCTACCTGGCTCACTTGATAGGTCTGGCCTTTGGGGACTCCATCCTACGAGTACCACCTGGGAAACCAAACAACCAAAAACAAATGGATGTTTCCCCAAACAGCCATTTCCTATGTAAAGGATTTCAATTGCCATATTGGAACAACCATTTGTTTCGTTGTTTGGGTTTCCAGGCAAGTACCTATCGGCCACCTAATACCTATCCTCCACTGATGTCATCTTGGTCAAAAGGCCGGACGAATCCTACCTCATCCTTCTGGAGACCTTTCCTTTACGTAGGGTAGTCGAACGCCACACCCAGGTCCAGGATGGTGGTACCTCATCCTCCCTTCCTTCCTTTCAATTATTGTTATTATTATGTTAATTTACTTTTAGTTCTCGTTTCTACTAGCAAACATTGTTCCTAGTAGTAAGGCACTTGTTACGAGTCGCGATGCACTTCTTCCATCCCGTCCCTTGGGGCCCAATGGCCACAGTCTGAGGAAGTTCAGCGATGTGGAGGCCACCAAGAAGCCACCTGTGCGGCCCGGTGACAGTAAAAAAGGCCGAAAAGGAACCGAACGACCCTCCCTGGAGTGAAGGTGGCTGGTGAAACCTCATCCCTGGAGTACGTGAAGGTGGGAACTGCCAACATCTTTGAAACCACCCACCCAGTTCGGATCGTTTCACCCTCACTCTACTGGACCGGACGCTCAATGGAAGGGTGGACCACGAGGTTCCGGAACTGCCGGACCCGAATCGGATCCCCGGCTGATCAGTTTTTCTTGCTGAGCTGACTGGAAGAAAAGGAGTCACCCAAACTATGCAGCCAAACCGAAAAGGAAACAGGAAGAGAGGTGAAAACGAGCCCCAAACCCGGGTCTTAAGGTGTTTTTCCTGGCGCGAGAAGCCCTGCCCAGGCGCCCCTGCGGTCCGGTGCAATATCGCTTTGAGGTGACCGGAGCCGGCGTGGCAGTCCAAACCGCCCTGACCCTGGAGGTTGACCATGTCTGGGTCGTCGATGTTCGCTTCGTTGGGAAGAACCATGGTCCTTTTGATGAACCCAGCCAGCCATTGCTCACCAACAGCCTTCCCTCAACAGCGCCAACGCCGAAAAAAACCGGGGGCGCCCGGTCTCCAAACGCGGGACGTCCGGGCGAAACCCGCGTGCAAAACCCGCGTTCACGGCCAACGCCCGCCTGAGACGTCCAACGAGATGGGCAAGCCTTCCACCTGAAGAGATGCGGCCGCCCGGAGAGGTGCACAAGAGTGGTGATCTCCTTGTCGTGAACCAAAAGAGCGGCGGCTTGGCGTTCTTGTTCATCGGCAAATCCGGTCTTGGGTTCACCCAAGACCCGATCGGTTCGAATCTGTAGGGAATGGAGTGGTGGACGCTTGAAGCGGAGTGTCCAAACATTCAAATTCAATGGGTTTTGTTGCTGGATCGGGTCCTCCTAGATGCTCAAGAAGGGACGGAGTCTGGCCGGATGAGTCTTTCAAATCTGAACCTTTTGACACCTCACCAAAAACCCTTAAGAACACTTGAGAGAGGAGGGGGTGAACGAAAGGTAGCAGGCAATCACAAGTAACCCTGGTAGAAGTCCATGACGGCGTGAACCGGCGCAGGGGGGATTTGATCCACGGGGGGCCCCCCCCCCCCCCCCCGACGAACAGAATCAACTCTTACAGAACCAAACTCAATGCACAATCCCAACTCCTGATTGTAATACATTTTTGCTAAAGCAAGGAGAACTCAGGTAGCTCAAGCTACCTTTCGTGAACAACGGTTCCCAATTTCCCAAAACCCCTTTGGAGGCCATCGCCAGTAGGTTGGAGGCCGTTGCGCTTACAGTTACCTCCCTTAAACCCCTCCCCCCCCCCCCCCCATTCTTCCCCCCCCAGAAGTACCACCAACACCACCTCAAAGCGCACCGGTTTGCCGTGGAAGCTCCACCATGTTTCTTTCGCCTGCGCCCGGAAGCCCCTGGCCCCTGCACCTCCTCGGAGAATTGGATCGTCTTCTGCACCACGCCTTGAACGTCCACCGAAGAGACTCGGACTTCGCGCGTGAGACTCACCGCGTATCGCACAGCGCTGACCACATGATGTGGTGCCATTTCGGGGTCAAGGGCGATGTGGTCACTCACTGCATGGTCACTAATTGTAGTTGGTGCCTGGGCGGCAACTTCAGCCAGAAACGAACACAGTTATCTCATATTAACTCCTATATCCTTTTGCCTTAAAGATCAACAAACATCTTATAGAAGGGGTAGATCCGGTCTATATTCTCCAATACCAATATCTCAATTGATCAGTTTTTCGATTGTTTTGGGAAGAATCGTCTCAACAAGTCCCAGTCGGACGTGACTTCAGAACCCAGTCTCGTCTCCGTCTCCGTCGCCTTGTTGGTTGGTGATTTCGATCTTCGCCCCCGCGGCGATGGCCACGCTCCGGTAGTGCCCTCGGTCGCGGCGACTGTGCAGTCCGACGGGTGGTCCGACTTCAAATCCTGGCGAATGGATGTCTTTTGATACAGTTTTTTTTTGTTTTGATACCTTCTGGAGCCCAGAACTCTTGCGTTTGGGCTAGAAAACTGCACACCACCTGATACTCAACACAGTTGTATTGGATAGGGTGAGCCAGTCAACTACACTTACAGCTTTGCCCGGATTGAAGCTGCATACAACCATGGCTTTGTAGATGAGATGACATGAGATGACCTGAATAGTATATAAGTAGGCCTTCAAAGCGAAAACAACACATCACACGGCCAGGTTGCTCCTCTCTGGGAAGTGTGTTACGACAGAGAAAACACCTCATCAGCTCCCCAAGTCACCTCTCCACAGGCAAAAACCCGCCAAACAACGGACCCTTCACGTCTCGACCCTCGGTCCCTCCCGCTCTCCGCCCGGTCCCGCTCTCCGGTCCGCTCTCCGCTGCGCGGAGTCGCCTTGACAGATCAGCGCGGCGGAGGTCATCTCGTTGGAGCGGCTGAACTGGCTGAGCACCGTGGGCTGAAACGTCACGTCCACGTCGTACCTCGAATCGCGACGCGACCGTGAGCTGAGGAGCGGCAGCGAAGCGCGCTGAGTCAGCGAGACGGAGAGCCGAGGTGTCGATGCCGGGCAGGGAGAGTCAGTGGATGTTGGAGGAAATCTCCTCCTGATCACTGTTTCCATGTATAGTGAAACTGAAACAAGTCCTTCTCTTGCAGAACGAAGCGCCCATTTCCAGCACCATTCAGTTCGGGCGGTTATTGGATGGACAATACATAGTCAAGGGAGGTCTAGTCCAACCACCCGACCTGGGTGGTGCTGGATTTGGCTTGTGTTTGATATCTCATATAGTGATATATACCAGGACCCGACACCGTGGGGTGCCCTGTCTGGAAGCCCAACGGCCGGTAGTGTGGGGTCGTTCATTGGACACCCCGAGGGTCGGAGGGTCCTGGTATATATATATATACCCTGCGAGTCAAAGACTATAACAAGAATGGTCTTTAGGGGACCTGAAAGGGAACTTCCTTTACTTCAGCCGGTCAAAATATAGTCTTTGGACTTCTAGGGTATATGTATATACACCTATATAGATATGTATACACCAAAAAAATGGGATGGGGATCAACTTGATACACTCCCGAGCAAGATTAATAGAAGACTAAACACCATTTGGTTGGGTGGCATCACTAGTACAAACGCATATTTCAACAAACATCCATGACTTGGAGGGAGAAGGGTTCTATTCTTGCGATAACACAGGCCCTCTACACAAAAAAACACGTCGCACTCAGTTGTCGCTGTTGCTCTTTTGTGCAAGCAACTCCAATGAAACAATATAGAAGTACACTATATTAGCACAACATTTTCCTTTTCATGGATTCTGCTAATTTCATGAAACAAATCCCTTTGTAGTCCCTACAGTACACCATAAGAGCGAGCTACCTCCCTACCCTTTGGGTGGGTCACTTACGCCTTCAGGCAAACCAAGCGGCAACATCACCTGCTTGTTGTTCCACAGCAAGACGGTCCCAGTGCCCACGCCCAAGCCCTTCACTCCTCAGCACGGTCGTCTTGTCTTAAAACCGTCTTGTTTCTTCTCTCCGGGAGCTAGAGGTGTCAACCCTGCCAACAGAAATTGAATGACCCGAACGTTCGACTATCCCAGTTCGGTACCCCGGGGTCCTATGAAAACGATCACTGGCTACCTCTCTTGGTGGTTCCATGTGCGAACGCACCGTAGCTTTGAGCTTCACCAGGTGGTCAACGAATCCAACACGACCACCGGACACCGGTGGGTTTTAAGGGTCCATGGGTCCAGTCCATCTTGTATTGGCTGCCTTCTGAAATCTGTGGCGTATGGGAAAACATCTCGACGAAATGCGTCAGTGTTGCTTCATGGGGGTTTTGGAGGTTTCCATGCTGAAAACCGTGGGCCATGTTCTCCTCAGTTGCTCCATTGGCCTAAATTGGGCCCACGTACAGGTGAAGTTCTTGCTAACCTTACTGCTGCTGAACGAGGCTGGCTTGTAGCTGCAAATGTTCTGAGTGTGACCCTAGGTTTCCAAGCACCATTGATTTAAGCAGCCTGGTCCCGAACAACCATGGTCTGTACCAACGATTTCAGACGATGAAACCAGGTCGGGTGGACCTCACGGGTGGACCTCACGTATGTCGTCCGTGCCTGCATGGGGTTTCCAGGTTTCGTGAGTCAGGCACGGTTGGTCTATGGATGGGGTCCGGTTCGGTTGGGAGGTTATTTTTGAGTGAGCCACGGTTGATCTTTGGTTGGTGAGCTATATGGTCATAGGATGGATCAGGTTCAGGGATGGAATCTGAGTCCAACAAACATGGCATTGTCTCAAACGAGACTTTGCTGAACAAGGGTTCTTCCCACACCTAGGTCCAAACACCAGATTCAAACACACCCACATGGTTTCCAATCTCTTCACGTGTCAAAACATATCGAAGAACTGATCTATACCAGGACCTTCCGAGCGTGGTTTTTGGGCACTCCTTGACCTCTAAGAGGCAGACTCATAGACACCTCGACAGGAAGACGAAGGACCTCAAATCGTGACCGGAGGGGGTCCTGAACATCGAAGACTCCGGCTGGCCGGTGCGCGCGCGCCCCCGCGCGCGCGCATCAAGAACAACTTCAACTCCGAAGCAATAAACACGTTCACCACATTTTTTTTTGTGCAATAAAAGTGCTCCCTTGAAGTTTTGAAGTGGGTGTCCAACACACGTATTCAAACCGGGGCAAAGAAAAACTCTTTTTTCGCGATTTCGTTGGAACCCTAACTTTCTAGCAATCTCTCTGTCCCGCAAGAAGGAAGACTAAGAACAGAAAATGAGACAAAATGACTGATCAGGCGGAACATGAAGTCATGAAGAGCACCCCGAAAGCATCCCCCAAAACGACCAATCCTCCCGCTGTTCCCGTCGGCTTTTGGTCGCAAACCGTCCGTCCCTCCAGCCATCTCAGCGGCTGAAATGGGCCGTCAGGCCGACATGCACCTGAGTGACCGGCGGTCCCGGAACCGCCGTTTCGCTCAAACACGCTGCGTCGACGCAGCTGATACCAGGTGGAGCGTCTCCATCCAACTGGGCGGAATGAGACCTCTAGATCTCCAGCTGTTTTTGTTCTCCGGATCCATCTGAATGGGGCGTCTCCAAAGCAGCCTCCTACACCCAGAATGGCCCGTTTCGAAACGGGTAGAAGCCCTCTGATCCGGCGGGATGGGAACGAATCTGGATCAGAAATTGAGTGAAGCTCAAGGTAGAATTTGATCTTCCAAATCTGCTCGATGAACAATTACCGTTCTCAGAAGGTATGGAAGGTGGTAAAGAGAAGCTTCTTCGTTTGAATGACCACAGCTTTTTAGGCATCCGAGTGCAAAAAGGGTGGTCTAGGATTTCGGATGGATGGTTTTCGATCGCGATCGCCCGAGCGAACATGAACATGGATTCACTCTTCCAACCAAGAAGAAGAAGAAGAAGGGGAAGAAGTGGAAGGAGAAGAAGTAGAAGTAGTAGTAGTAGTAGTATAAGTAGTAGTAGTAGTAGTAGTAGTAGTAGAAGTAGAAGAAGAAGGAGAGAAGAAGGTGAAGGTGGAGGTGGAGAGGAGCAGAAGACTCACACCGAGTCACCCAGGTCTAAACTCCTGATGAAGATAGGAAGAGGATGGACATATTTACACTTCCTGGAATCATCATGCTTATGTGGAGAACGCATTGGTCTCCGAGCATGAAATCCGATGACCAACAGGTAGTAGAACTCCCCCTAGCCATGATGATTCCAGGGAGTGTACATGTTCTAGTTGTTAACATTTGTATTAGGCTTGGCTCATGACACACCCAACATTCGGAGATCTGTTTTTGCACCCAAAAATCACTGGCTTTCGTGGTGAAGAGTTGCGTGGACCAGTGTTCAAGTTACGAAGAGACCATAAGTATTATAGTCAAAGTCATCTCCCCTTGGATTCCCGTGACTTCAATCAGACGCGTCCATCAAACCATCATCCATATCAATCCTCTTTGAATCTCTTTGACCTACTTCCATCTACTTCCAAACGCTAGCCCTCCAAGGAGCCATCTCTCTTCCCTCAAAATCCAGTTAGGAACCTGCCGCCCACCCTCGTTGGGCATCCCCAACCGCTCCAGCGCGTGGCCCCGCCTGTCGCTCGGTGTGGTACAGCAAGATCTCCATGGGCGCCGTTTGCACCGCCATCAGCGGTGCCTGAGCGACAGTGGCCGGTGGCATGGCCACTCTTCAGTGAGACCATGCAGGCTGACATGGGCCCTTTTTGGGCGGTGTTGAGATGAGTTTTGGCACATCATGTTTCTAATCTGTTGTTTGTAATGTGCCTTCCGCCTTCAAAATCCATGATAATCCATGATTGCCTGCTAGAACACTCTCCAAAATGAAAACTGAGGTCCTGCTATGTTCTGGCTCTCATGTCAAGGAAGTCTTTGTGTGTTGGCCGTGTCTTCTTCGTACGCAGCCTTGTTGTGAGATCTGAAGCGATTGTCATCCATTCCCAAACACTCCATGGGACTGGAATATCTGCCTACATTCAGCCCTGAAACCACTCCTCCAATGTAGTCATTTGCCAGTCACATTTGTTGTGTCTGGAATTCCTTTGTGGGGACGTTTTGTATCCGAACCGGAAAAATCCCGGAACCTGGTCAAGACCAAATGACCCAACCATGTCATGTTTCATTGGTCAATGAATCTTCTTGTTTGACAAACAAAACCCAGCGATAGGATCACCCACCTCGGACCTTACAACGTCGTTTGAGTTTCATACTCAACTTGCCGCCTGAGGTAAACACGCACCTCTTCTTATGTATATACATATATATGATATGCATACCAAGGCCCCCTAAGGGGTGGTTCATGGACACCCCTGAAACCTCCCTAAGGGACTAGACACCCCCATGGCCTGCGGGGGGGCCCTATATGTATTAAACACATTCAACCTGACGGAAACCATGGAAGGTGAGGGTGGCGGGTGGCGGGACGTAACTCACCCAGCCGCCTGGACGGCGGTGTTCAGTTGCGCTTCGCTCAAGATGACGCTCGAGCGCTCAGTCCTGGTGGGGCCGTGTTCGGTGTGAAGCGTCGATCCGTCAGGTCTTGGGGCCATGATCGTAGGTGGTCTGCAAAGTCTATGAAGCATTCGAAGTGGGTATCCTAGTAGCTTCTTGTTCCTGGTCCTAGTAGTAAGGCCAGGAGCCCCTAGTAGCGTCCTTGCTCCTAGTAGCGATTCCAGGAGCTTCTTTCCTCTGATTCCCAACCCAGTGCCGGCTCTGGAAAATCCCCAGAACCGCTGTCGAGTCAAACAAATGGGCGGGGATCCCTTTTTTTTCACCACTTTCCACTCACTCGCTCCCGTTCTCCATCCCTTTCTCTTTTTGGGTCCTTTTTCGGTTCCCTCGTCCCCCCGTTCCGTTCTCCGTTCTCGACCGTCTCCCGGCCGCGAGAGTCTCACCTCACCCGCTCCCGTTGCCGCGCTGAGGGGTTTGGCCCAAGGCACCGCGCGTGGATCAAGCTTTCGCCGGGACCCCAGGTCAAACGATCCACCGCGCAGTCGCCCACGGACACCACCGGGAGCACTTGCCTCGGCGCAGCGCCCTCCGGGTTGGAGCGTGAAAACGGTGGGTCAGCCGTATGAGGGGGGGGGGGGGGGTGGTTTGCGGGAGTGTTTTTTCATGGATTTCTGCTTTCCAAGAGCCAGTTCGCTTCTGCTGCGGTGGCTTTTCCAGATCTTCGCTTGTCTGACTGGGACCATCACGTCCAACTTACAAAAACTCACATGTTCTTCTAGCTCTGTGGATGATTTCACATCCCCTCCAAAACAGAGTCTATAGTCTACATGTTGCTTCTCTAGTTTGATCGATGTGCAAATCCATGCAGCCTCACGACTTACAGTATCCTTTTCCAACCAAAAAGCAAAGGTGACGATGTAAGTGGAAGCTCATTCGCACTATCTGCTGGCTATCCATGAAAAACCACACATGCAGGAGTCTTTGTTTCTGACCATTCTTTCAGTCATTTAGCGGCCAGTAGTACTCAGTGTTTTTAGCTGTTTCACAAGATTGCTTCTTTGGTTCTCTGCGAATGCCTGTATTCCAGCTCTCAATTTTGGGAAGATTCAGACCCACCATACACCAACTCCCAAGCCGTTTCGGACAAGAGAGGTGAACCATTTTCATGCGTTCATACTTGTGCTCATATTTCGTGGGAAAGCAATCCACCGAAAAAGGTTAAAGGGCTATTCACTTTTCCATGAGTAGGTATAGGATGGTATATAGAGGTCCTTGCATCACCCCCTTCCCACCTGGAAGTCAACAGCTTCCTTCTCATCCACGCTCGTGCTCACCGCCCTCACTATAGCCCTTTCATCAGCCTCTGCAAATCACTCCCCAGGAACAGTTCGGTGAACCCTCCGTTCTTCACCGAACAATATGCTCTTACCAGGAGTCACAGAGGTTAGGGGTGCAATCCATGGAGGGTGCCGGTTACGGGGTGCTCCTGTCACGTCACATCCCCGGAAGATGGGACGAGCCAGCTGGATGGGACTGGGGGTCCTCGACCTCACCCGGGACAACGACCCTTTCCATCACAAGCCCGAGCCGCCAGTTGGCTTCGGACTTGGGGATCCCGGAAAGGGTGCTGGAGCGCCACTGCACCATCTTCCCTCCACGCGTTCCGCAGGCCAAGACCTGAAGCTTCGTCGACCGAACGAACCGAACGAGTCAACCGGAGCGGAGGAGTTCCGAACGACCGAAGGCCGGCGGTTGGAAACCAAGACCTACCATGAAGACGGTGGTTTTGGGCAGGGAGGACTTCTTCCATGCGTGCTAGTACTTAGTTGGTTCAGACTTTCAAGATCTTTCAAGTGCCACCTCAGTGCTTCTGCGAGTTATTGCTGCATGGGGTGCTCCAGGAAAAACACCACGACTTGTGTCGTGTTACGTCGTTACCTGCAGTGTCTGCTGACACAAACAATGTTGCATGATGTTGCATGTAACAAACTTAGCCATCACAGCTGTGGTTCCTGGAGCTCCCTCCAATGCCCCGCCGAATTCACTCGACGAAGACACCGACGCGGTCGACCGAAGACGGCTGATTCCGTTCGTGACCCGAATCTGGTCAATCAAAGCGGGTGACTCTTCGTCCAAGTCCAGTCGATCCCAGAGGTCAACATCTTGACCCTGGAAGTCCAGTTCGACTATACTTTCCCTCAGTGAAGTAAAGGACATTCCCTTTCAGATCCCATTCTTAGACCATTCTTTGTAGAATCTTTGACTCTCAGGGTTGAAGATAGACAAAGCAACCGACTCCTCTGACTCAGTCGTGAGCCGAGACGCTCTAGCCTCTAGCTCAGTTGACCCGACATGACCCAGCCAGTGGGCCAACCAACTGATTTTTGGAGGCCTACAAGCCAACCCCCTACACCTCCAGTCGCACCTCCTCAGGTTCGGTATGACTGGACCCGAACCTGGCACCCGGGCCCCCAGTCCCACCTTCGAAACGAACGGTACGTCTGTCCGGAGGCCAAACGGGAACAGTTCCATCGACTCAACGACCAATCGCCGAATCGAATCAGCATGCGACCCCTCGCCGCCGCGAGCGCCGTCGCGAGCACCGTCGGCGGCGCCTCGGCCGACCCGTCCTGGATCCGACCCCGCCCTCGCCTGCTTCCGGGGGTTGTAATCCACGCTGGTGACCTTGTCCCCACTGAGGCTATTCCTCTCGTCCACACCTACCGCTTGCGCGGCGTCGGTAGCATATCACCTTTGACAACAACTGGGGCATTCGATTGCTTTGAAAGCCGAGTGTGAGATAACTATACAAGAATTGGCAACATCAATCCATTGGGCACCCGAAATAGAATCAAATGTGCATCTCACATGGAGAAACCACACAATGCCACTCAACACACTCATTGCCGCCCTCACGTTCACCGCTGCATCCTTCTTACGTACAGCAACAACCTCTTCCCCCCTCCCCTTCCCGGTATGGCATTCCATCAGAAACCCAACACGGAGAGACCCATCGATCGCTTCGACCCGACCCTGCAGGCTCAAGATGTAGTTCTCGTCGTCTGCCAGGTTCCTGCAGCTCTTCGGCGTGGGCGAACGGGACCCGACGACTCGGCGCGTCGAGTCGATGGGGCGGGGTTCGTGGTGGGGTGGGGAAGCGGGAACTCCGACCACTCGTAGGACTGGACGGAGGGGGTTTTGGCGTTGCATTTCTTGTTGGTGGGGTGAACTGGGGGTCTTCGTATGGCAATAGACATCAACCCAGCTCTCTTGCTCTTCTCCATTGTTTTCAGATTCTGTGTGGATCTGGTTTTGCTGCATCATGGAACAGCAGAACAGTATAAATATTGATAATGCCAAAGATCAAAGCACTGCTGTTCCCGGAATGAACAGAATCCTTTACCAAACACCATCAACCGATCCCTTCCAGAACAAAGTATGTAGTGACATGGTTCCGATCTACAGCCATGTCACACAACGCGCGGCCATCTTTGTTTCCTACAAATCCGGATTTACGTTTTTTTCAAATCAACAGGCATCCAAATAAGACCATGAACCTGTGAACTAAAACACAAATGTTTCTAATCTATGAGCCCTGTCAACTGGGGTGTGAACAGTGGGGGTGTGGTGATCTACAGCCCTGAACAGTGGACTCATTTCTTCCAATGTCCATTCTCCACATGTCTTTTGAGGTGGCAGCGAAAGGTCCTGTTTGGCTGCATGGGTCATATACTTGTGAGAAAAGCGGGAGGCACGATAGGATCGCTGCAGATGATCGGGTCCGCTGATCCGCGCGTGCAGATCCACAGAAGGGTTCTGGCCTGGCTCCACCATCCTCCAGCCTTCATGATCGTACTTGGACTGCTGTGCCCGGTCAGTCTTCAAGGCGTTCCCCGCGGCCGGGACATCCAGCCAGGGCTGACGCCCTGGTTCCGCCGATTGGCCATGCGAACCTGGCCCGGTTTCGCGACTTCCGAGCCTGGCCCCGGCAGGAGTGAGATCTCAGCAGCTCCCGGGCGTGTTGCGTTGGGAGTTGCAAAGCTGTCGATGACTGGACCTGTCGATGTTGTGCCCAGATAGCCAGAGTTGGATGTTTTCTGGCGCAGTGACGGGTGTGACAACAGCAGGGCAGCAGCGCAGCAATTCTCCCTTTACCATCTGCATTGTCAGGCTGTAGAATGCACCGCTCAGAGGCGGGATAAAACAACATGGAAAGCTTAGCTTTCACATGATGTTGACATGTTCTCAAGGCAATGAAGTGCAAAACTACCACACACCAGTCCACTGTGTCACCCACTCCAAGAGGAACTACTCGGCGTTGTCAGAGAAATGTTTTCCTCTTTCCTCTTTCCATTTGCTCCAACAGCACTATTTTCAAAGAGACTTGGATGCTTATGAAGACCGCAACTCACACATTCTCGCAGTGCTGGCCACAGAACATACCATGGGAAACCATACACTGTACACTTGCCTTGAAGCCTTCAGCTATAAGTGAAAGAAATTGGCAATTGGCATCGCAAATGAACTACTGGCAGCTGTTCATGATCATATCAACAACTGTCTCCACATCGAAGCTGCAGTTGCCTCCAATTTAAGCCCTGAACCAGGACATTGGCTGGTGAAACTGTGAGACGGAGCCAAACTGTCTAGTATCAGTACTGGTAAGTCTTTTGCGTGGTGGGCCATGGGCAGTCGCATTTCGAGAAGCTTGCATTGGCGGCGGTTTTTCAGACCACTGACGGACGGTGGTGTGGTGACGGTGCTGGTGACCTGGTGGAACGGTTGGTGACGGTGCTGTGGGGCCTAACTCCAAAAAGGACGTGCAAACACACCCGACAAAAGAACGTCAATCAACCACTGAGGATGTTTAGAAGCTTTGTAATGCCAAAGAACTTGCCTTTGCTGGCTTGGTTGAGGAGCTGGTTGGATTCGGCAGGCTTTCTGTGAACATGGCGAGATCGGATCGTTCCGTCGGTACAGCGGGTGTCGCTTGGAGGGCGCTCGGTGCAGCTGGGGTCGCTGGAGGCAAAGCCGGGGCATCTGGCGGAGCCGATCGCGCCATGTGAGTGGAGAGTGTCGGGTGAGCTGCGAAGTAGTGGCGTTGGGGCGTGGTGAGGCGGCCTGAAGGTGAGGTGTCGACATTGAGGAATACGACCGTCGAGCCGGCCATGGTGCATCGAGTGGGCCCATTAGAATCCCAACTGGGTGCACTGGAGAATTCTTCTTCTACGCCGTCCATCATCTGCAGTTTGGAAGCTTTCCAGGAGGGTCTCCTTTTCGCCCATACCTTGCACTCCTTCCTTCCTCATGGTTGCTGTCAAACCTTGCACGGCTTGATGTAGGCATCTGATCCTCACCTGCTGGGGTCCATGCGGAGCCAGGCCACGCGTGGGCCACGTCTGGTTTCGTCCGAACGCTTGGCCAAGGATGGTCTGTGCCCTCGCATGAGTGAAGAGAATCAGCCTCCAATAGCTAGTTCTCCAACAAGGGTTCAGGGGTATGAATGATGACTTGGAGCAAAACGGATCCATGCAGCATGGCTAAAGGCCATTTCATGCAAAAAATACTCCCTTATTCCTGCTGCTTTTGAGGACTGAAAACAACCACATGTGGTGATGGGGCGCGGGGTTTTCTCCTTCCTTTCTTCGCTCCCCAACGTCCCGGCCATCGCTTCGCACCGCACCGAACCGTCGAACGACGATACCGGCGCTCCAGATGCGCAAGATGCTCTCGTGGCTGCACGTGGCCTCGGTCGGGGCAGTCAGACGCGGCTGTCAGACGCGACCTCCGTCCGTGGGAACAGAACATACGTGGGATCATCCTGGACCTGGGTGTCCTGGCGTTCGACCACCCCACCCCACTACAGGTCTCCAAACAGGGCACCCGGACAGGAAGTGCCAGGTAGACCAAAAAAGAAAAGTATGGGGTAGAAGCAACACAACTGAAAACTCTCCAGGCTTTGTGCCCTATTTTTGTGGGGAATCTCAACGTCACGTGAACGATATCACTTCCTGAGACCCCAAAAAAACCAGAAACAAATGATTGCTCCAATATGGCAATTGAAATCCTTTACATAGGAAATGGTTGTTTGGGGAAACATCCATTTCTTTCCGGTTGTTTAGAGTTCCAGGATTAGGATCCACTCTGTTGACCATGTCTATTCTGTTGCGTGGATCACTGTGCGGGGTCAGTAGGTGACGGAGAAACTTTTGCCTACCGGACAAATCGAGCTTGTGCAAGGAAGATGCGCACAGAGAGAATGCGTGCACACACACAATTCTGGAGGGTTTGATGCAAGCGCTGTGCTTTTGCCGTTCTTTCTGCGCAAAACATTTTTTTCAAGTGAAGTCCCCAAAAGAACAAAGTCTGAGTCTTCACCAACTGAGATAAGCCTTCTCCCGGTCCGCCCCCCCAAAGTTTTATATCATGCTCGTGGAGTTCAGAACTTGCTCTTTTCCGACCTGCGAGAAACCACACTTGTCCAGGCACCCCAGCCCAACCACCACAAAAACAGCCAACCCCTCGAACTGCCCAAGCGATCGCGTCCGTCCGACCCGATCCGGAGGATGCGTTCCAACGCCGCCTGCGACGGACGGCCAAGGGCGGCCAGGGCGCCAGCAATCCGGGCCCAGCCCAACATCCCTGCAGCTTCTCAGGCGTTGGACCACAGGAGAGTTTCCTGGGCATCGCGACGAACGGAGCAAGAAGCGGGCATCGCTACTACGAACGGAGCGATCGGACGCTATGAACAATAGGGGCTCCTGGCATCGCTGGAGCATGGCATGGCTGGTACTTAAGAAGCTACGACCGAGATTCGATGCCTTCGGACCGAACTGGACTGAACAAGAGACTTCAACTCCCTCCACCAGAGACCCCGCGCGTTTGTGCGTGGTGGGTGGCACCCGGTGTGGGGCACGCGGTGAACCGAGGAGCAGCTTGGATTCGTTGGTGACCTTGCCATCCGCCGAGAGGGAGAATTGCACCAGGATCACGCTCTTGGTGACGAGCACCACCACGTCCTTTTCGCTGTAGTACTCCAAGAGCAGCCTGAGTTCGACTTGAAAACGTAGCGGAGATCCATGACGATCTTCACCTGACCTCTTCCCATCATAAAATCCTCTCTTGAGCATGCTTCTTCTCCCGACTTTCTCCCAGTTGCTCCCGGCTGCTGGGGGTTTTCGAGCTTGGTCAACAAATTCAGCGGGGGTGCAAGAGCCGAGTATTGGTCGTCGAAGGGGTTGTGAGTAGTCTTATCATAAATGATCTTTGGATTGACTAGAACTGAAGATCCTTGTCTGATCGCTCAAACTCTCCTTCAACCAATGGATCCCTTGCCTTTTCATTCGATGTGGAATTAAACCCCCTTTCCTCCATCACCAATCAAATCACCTGAAGCTGCCTGCTCCGCTGCGCTCGTCCACCATTTGGGAACCCGGACACCCTCACAACGCCAACGCCACCACCATCGCCCACACCGATCCAAAGGGACAAGGGCGATCCGATCTTGTAGCGCTCGGAGCAAAGGCCGAAGTCGTCGGCCAGGTAAATGATGCCCTGCTCGCCTCCCATCGTTCGTCGGTCGGTGGAGTGAGGGAGGCAGAGAGAGAGGGGAAGCGAGTTTGCGCCAGGTCCAGGGGAGCTCCAAAATGAACCAATTCGGTACACAGTTTAGGGCTCTGGGTTGCAAAAAAGAAGGGACAAACACAGACAAGGATACCCAGCGGCGGGTGGTGTGTTTTCCATGCGTTGGCGATCCTTTCAATCACGGGGTTTTCCCCATACGTCGTGCGGAAAAACACGGGAGATTCAGGTCCAGGGACCAACAGGCTCAGCCTGGGCCAAAGCTACGAACGGTGGCGATTCAGTGGGCGACCGTGTCAACTGATCTGCTATCCAAAGAGAGAGATTTTTGGACCTTAGCACCCATACCGACATTGGCAGAAAGAACCTGCCTCAACCAAGTCGACCTCGAGAGCGATGTCGCCACGCAACCGATGTCATCCCCCTTCCGCCCGAACGGATTCGGAGGACGTCGCTTCGGCATGACGTCGCTTCGCCTCCGAAGAAGAAGGGCGGGTTCTCCAAGTTGGGCTCCCCCGAGGGCGTGGTCGTGCGGAAGATCACCTGGCGCCGCGTGCTCCGCGGACGTCACGCGTTCTGCGGAGACCGGGGAACACTGCCGTGTGCGCTGGGCAGTTCGGGAAGAAGACCATCGATCTGCAAAAGGAGGGCGATAGAAGGCAGCAGTATGCAGCAGTGCTTTTCTGGTTAAACAAAAGGGCCAAAAGGGCAACGAACTCGGTGTGATATGAAAAGGTGATGGGAATCAATGGGATGATAGATATGGTGGAGAATGAGAAGGAAGTGTCACGCTCAATAGAGGCAGCCTTGGGAGGGTGACATGCCCTGCTTGGAAGCAGGAGGTGCCTCGTAACCCTGTATGAGATGGAGTAACATGTGGTAAACCCATTGCGTATGGAAGGAGTAACGAAATCAGTTTCTACCCAGAGCTCATGGAACTGCGATTCAATTTTTTCAAGTATAGAGATGAACGCCAGCAAAAGTGGTCTTTCTGCTTCTTCAAAGCCACTCGAATACACCCAACACCAACCAAATCGACAAATGGAGATGTGAAGCTACCGTTTTGAGGGTCCCACATGGCACTTGGTACTCGATAAGACCACAGTAACCAGGGGACACACACAAATCCCTTGCCGTCTGGTTTTTTCAACCAAACAGGATTGGACACCAGAGCTCGAGCTCGAGCTGCGCTGCTTCAAATACCATTAACAGAAAGGTTGGACCTAGTGTAGACACCGGTTCATGGTTCCGTGGGATTCAATCCATTAAATCAATCCTATCGGACATGTAGAACATCCTTCAAGTCACCCCCAGAGTGGACAGTGGAAACTAGGCATACACATCTATTCAAGCTATTCTCACAACGAAAATGGACGTTCTTGATCGCGGTTCCAAGAAGAACAGGCAAACTCACATAAATATTGCATGCAGCACATTCAGTGCCCAAATTCTCTGCATCTTCCACCCTCCATAGATGGGGTCCCGGAACCTTTCGGTGTTTTTACCTGGAGCCTTTTTGTGACCTCTATTTTGGACCACCAAACCATCCAAATTATGGCCAACCTTCCTTTAAAAAAACAATTGGTCATATCTGGGCTCTAGGTCGTGAAAAAAACACTCGCAACCTGAGCTCAACCTCGACCACCTCGACGTGGCGTTTGGCTTCGCCGAGGCTTCGTCGATCGAAGCGATCGAAGCATCCAGCACCTTGTCGTGTGCACCGGACTTGCGATAGTGACACATCCTCAACGGTGCGAGGCTGTCCCACGACATGCTGTCCGGTACTGTCGGTGCGTGAAGGGACCGGCCGGTGGTGCGAAGGGGTGGCCATTCTAGAAGTCCCTGGTCAAGGCTCGAAGACCAATTTGAGTGGGACAAAAACAGATCGGATTTCACTGGATTTCAAGTGGGTTTGACCATCCAAAGAGCGGGGGGTCCATGAATCATGATGAATCAAAATAGTCTCTTAAGTACAATACCAAAAAGGAAAGGAGTGGACAAGGAAGTACGACCCAGTACCAAGGAAGCTCCCTCGAAGCTATATCGCCTGCACCTTTCTTTCGCTTCCTCTCCCTCTTCTTGGAGTGCTTTGATTCGAGTCCAACGTCTCTGACCCATGACCGTCTCCATCGTTTTGGAACCCGTTTTCCCCTTCGTCGAGGCGCTGATTGCAGAGGCCTCGCTGGTCGGTCTTCCAAACGCCCACCACGCCCTGCATGTCCTAGGAGCTTCGGACCGACAGCGGAAGACCGGTCTTAAAGACCCACCTTTTCGGTGCTGTTGGGCGCCGTCTACGTCATCTGGGTCGTTTTGCCAGACATCTCAAGCTCTCCCTTTGTGTAGAGGAAATTTCAACGGGGATGTATAATAGAGACATCTAGGATCCTATGCCGGAGGATTCATCCGAGAAAAACCATCCAAGAGAAACACTCACACACTCACTTGGATACATGAGGGTCCAACGGACCATCCGGTGTGGCAATGCCAGCAGCAGCCCCGTCACACAGGGCACGCCTCCAAGTTCAAATCTGATCACCCCAAACCAAGAAGCAACTCTCTCCAGATCTCTCCAGTTCTCTCCACAATCGCGACTCGAACGGAGCCAGGAGGACGCTACGAATTCGGGGGCGCTCCTGGCCAAAAAACGACGAACGTCACAAGCAAGCAGGGCCTCGCGCACCGAACGTCACAACGAAGGGCATCACGGTGTCGCGAACGGAGCACCAGAAGAACGGAGCACCAAGTGTCGGTGGTGACGCAGCGTGTGCCCGCCGGATTGAAGACGATGCTCAGGATCCTCGGAGTCAGACGCTTCAGGTGGCTTCCGGCGACCGACCGGCGACGAATAAGGGTGGATGGTGTGACCCAAAGAATCCGAATGTGATGGAAAAGAACAGCGTAGATATTTTTGGAGTGATGCTCTTTCAACATCCCAAATCTCTGATTTTAATCTACGAAGCCAAGAATCATGGTATTTTTTTCGTAGAAATTCGACAAGTAGAGATGTTGCACAGTTGGAAGATCCAGGTATGGTACCCTCCATCCAACAAACATGGAAGTGGAGCATGGCCCCTTGGAAGACGGAATTCCTCTATGAACAGGCTGTATTCCACTTCCATGATTGTTTCAGGTAATGGTATATGTTGACCTTCAAACATTTGGCCCCATCACCCCAGATGTAGGCCATCCAGTCCCATGGATGGGAAAGGTTCTCCTGTTCTCGGATGTTCTCGGAGATGGATTAGAGAAAAGGGATGTGGGCCGTGGTGAAAATTCCTTGAAACCTAACTCCTCTTTTTGTAAATCCTTGGGCCAAGACGGGTTTACCTGTAGCTGTTCCAGCTCAGTTTAGCCAGTTTATACTATGGTTTCAGAATGTTTCAGAGTATAGATGGTACAACCCCCAAGATCTCCTTTATATGGGGGCCCATATGAAACCACCGCACTTGGGGATTGTGCCATCTACTCTGAACCCGCTGGACGTGCCATGGAACAATTCCTTGGCCAGTGCCCGTGCCTCGCACGAAGCTCAGCTTCACGAGGGCATCTGTGCATGGAAGAAGTGCAGTGATTGGTGGCTTCAACAGAAGAATCCACCAAGTTGAATCGCATGCTGATTCAACAGTGATTTAACTCAGATTGTAGGCTTCTGTGATCGTTTTGAGTTAAATCTGAATCTTTCACAGAAGCCCTTCCATCTCAGCATCACCCGTCAGAGGCGGCGCCTGGTTGGATGGACCATCATTACATGAGGGGGGTTGATTTCGTCAACTACCCGTCTCCTGTTTTGGGTGCTGGATATCAGTGAAACCATGTCGAAGACTCCGTTGCTCAACCTACACTGGCTCAAAACGAGGACTTACAGAAGCCAAGACCTGCCAGACATCGCCCCACCCTTGCCTATCTTTCTCCATTCACTCAGTCCAAACCTGCGAAACCGGACCAAAACCGTGGACCAAACGAACACCGCTTTTTCCCCCCGTCCTCGCAGGCTGTCCAATTCGTCCTTTCCTGCCTCCCAGGTGCCTCCCTGGTGCCTCCCAGGCTGTTCGCCCGCGTCGTCCTCTCCGGGCCGCGTCCTCTCGGTCTCCGAGGGGCGGCGACTCGCGGTGCACGTCCTGGTCGTTCCGCGCGTGGCAGGCGGGGCCCGCGAAGGTCACGGCGCCGTCCTCCCAGCCGGCGCAGATCACCTGCAGTCGTTCCGCGCGAGACGGGCGGTTTTTGGGCGGAACAAGCGGAACAAGGTCGCGCGAAGCGGTGGTGGGGAGCGTTTAGAGTGGGTGGTTGTGGTCCTTTTTTCGGCGTTCTTTGTTTTGGTTTTGGTTTTGGAGGTGGTTTTTCTGTGTGTAGGTGATGGTTTTCTTCCAGTTCCTGGCAAGAAAACCCGGGTTTGGGCATGATCACGAGCGGAGGGAAGATGGAAAGCCATCTCATTCCCTTGACCTTTGTCTTCATACGGGCACCCCGTCAAAGGCGGTTGTTTTCTACACGTGAATCTGCGTGGAAAACGGGTCGTCCCGTTTTCGGAAGAAGAGCTCGGTTTGCTGCTGGTTGGTGGGTTCAACTCACCAGAAACACTGTTTGTGAGTGGGATCAGTCACCTTAGGAATCCAGTCGTACCTCCTCAGAAGGTACTTGGACCCTCAAAACCTACATAAGAGTGTCTCCAATCACCTCCTACATAAGAGTGTCATTTGGTCTTAAAACAGTTTGCACATTAAAATATCAGAAACCACCACTCAGGTGGGTGTTAAACCTCTAACTTTCAGTGAGTGCCTCATCAAAAGAAAGACTCCGGATAAGGGCTGTGGTTATCGGTAGCCTCGCTCCAAAGAATCCCACTTAGTATGATGATTGTTGATCAACCCCAAAAAACATCATCCATCAACAGGGAGAAGTCGAACAGTTCAAATCAGAATGGCGGGAGTTTGATGAATCCCAGACACGACCCATGAAACTGCCATATTTACCTACATTGACCCCTCTGGCACCACCACCCCTAGCCGCACCACTCGGCATACATGGAGCGTCTGGGAATCAACACCAAACCCTGTCTTCAACGGACCTGGTCCATTGGGCCCACAGCTTCACCTGGGGACCGCGAAGCGACGCGCTCCACGCGCTCCACGCGGTCGCCATCCACTCCTCTTCAGTCCGTCCAGCCTTGGAGGTGGGATGCCACGCCAGCGCGGTGCAGGGCACGGCGCGCTCCTGCGCGAAGTCTGCCAGCTCCTCTCCCTGAACGAAACAGAAAAGCGGAAAGCGCAGCCGTTCGCGCAGCGGTTCCGTTCACGCGCCGCGGTGTTTCGGAAGGATCGGGCCGAATCGGGTTCGCAGCTTTTGGAGTCTGAAGCTGAGCTGAATCCGGATCCGTGCCGAGTCTCGAGATGAAGGTGTGAACGTGAGTGACGTCTCAACTCGGTCGAAGTGACCTAATACAAGGGAAATGGCTGTTGGTTCTTTGAGAACACGTTCTCTTTTGGGAAGCCTTTTTTGCTTCAAGAGGCAACTTTACTCAGGTCTTCATCTTCAGCCTTACCAAAAATGGTCACAACCGCCAGTTACCATCAACATGAGCCCTAATTAGGGCTCCAGCCATATCCTCACAAGGTATGACTGGACCCTCCTGGCACCCACCCCAGTCCCACCTTCTTAGAAGGTACGACTGGAGCCCTAGGGGAGTGCTTCCGAAAGAAGAAACCATCCGAGATTGGTGGTGTCTTTCTGGCCCTCTTTCAAGTGGTCACCTCCCAAAGGCCGCTGAAAAATAACATCTTACTGGAACAAAACACCCATCTGCAGCACATAACACGTTTAACATTTATGTTCATGGCCTTTACATCAGCTATATCAAGGTTTGTATCTCTGCCATCTCTGCAACAAAATCAGTCCAAAGAAAAGCAGGCTGAGCCTCACCTAAACCCTAAACCAAACATGCAGTTCGGTCCACGACTAAAGCCTGCAATTCTGGTGATGCTTTCGTCGAGATGAGTCGGACGGACGGCACGAACGAAAGAAAACCAGCTCTTCCTCTATACAAAAAGGATTCCCCAAAGACACCAGGTAGATATTTACATCCATTGATCCCTCTTCAATCAACCATTTTTGGATAGGCTGTGTCTGCGATCCTCTTCCGTCACCATTTTTTAATGAATTCCTTCAGCAAACAGGCACCACATAGATGACTGGTTGTCCACAGGTCCACCTGTAGTAAGGCTTAAACCTTTAATAGTGGTTTTGTACCTTTAAGCAATCCCATCAAGCCAAAGCGCTTGATGGACCCCGAATCCTCTGGAGACCCTCATCCGGAGAGGTGAGGAATAACCCCTCAACCCCCTATGCTTTGGAGCGGCTTCGCTCGGTCGGTCGCGCCTCTCGGAAGATGCGTAAGACGCAGCCGTCGGCCACCGCCAAAAGTGGCATCTCCTCACCAGATGAAGTTGGGAGAGAACTGCATTGACCGGATGTTCTAAGAATTCTTAAAAAGAAACTATTAGAAACAAGTGCCACGCTACTAGTAACAAGTGCCTTACTAGTAGTAACAAGAAGAATTTAATTAGAACAACGAGCCCTTCAACTGACCTCACCAGACTTCAAAGACGAGAACCAAGCCGCCTCCGAGCCCTTCACATGCTCTGTTTGCTTTTGCCTTTGTCTCGCTTCGCAGAAGGGCGGCGCGCGCCTCGCCGGTACTCCAAGCGATGCATCGCACGGCCGTGTAGTCCGACAGTGGCAGGTCATGGTCGAAGTAGATGGACGACATGGCGCAGAAAGCACGGTGCGGCTCGGAGAGTCTTCTGTCTTTCAACGATTTGTTTCTCCCTCGGTTGGAGTCTGTTGGAGTGTGTTGGGGGCTTTCGAAACCAATCGGGGAGTTTTGGAGCCATCTGTTTTTTAGGTCCGGTATGTTTTAGCCATGTCTTGGTGGGCGTTCCGCTGAAAGCGCTATATGTTTCCTGTGTCGTTTCACTTGGGCTGAAGAAAAGACATCTTAAGTTGAACTTGGTGGTCTCTGGAGTGGCTGAGAGTCTTTGGCTCAGAGTGTTTGAGGGTTTGTGCTGCAAGGGAAAAGACCTTCTTTTGCAGATCCAAATCTCAGTTAGTCAGTCAAGACCTGCTAAAATGGCTTATAACTTATACACCACACCAATGAGTGGCTGAAATTGGCTCGGGCATCTTCTTTCCTTTTGTGCCTCTGGTTTCAAACCTCGGCCCGAACAGGTGGAGCAGCGGGTTTTCAGCGACATCCGGTCGGACCACCTCACCACCGGCGGGAAATCCCCGGTGTTCGAACGGAGCACCAGACCGGTCGACCACCGGGTTAGGGACCGGTGAAGCGAGCTTCCTGTGGGGAGACCGATCCAAGGTGATCCACCTTGTCCTGGGTAAGACAAGAAGAACTCGATGTTTGGTGAAGCCAAGCATAACGCGGACCAGGAAGCGGGGGTGTTTCGAAACCAAATCGCGAGGAAGCCACATCTGCCGCACATCTCGGGGTTGGGAGTGTCACACAGCTACCGACTTCTTTTGAGGTGACCTGGCAAGTGCATGTTTAGACCATCTGGAACCGGGCATTTTTTACACACTGCAAGATGCTGTCGGTAGAGAAGGACACCACCATACTAGTACCATACAAAGTCTACGCAGCGTGCAAGTTGAGTCTGTTCAACAGAAGGTGTGTCATGGTTTAAAGTTTAAAGTACTTTCTTAAGGTCATGACAATTCAAGATTGCATGGCAAACCAACAAAACAGCTCTTATTTTCTAGTATACCCACCAGTCCCACCACCCCTTTTAGCTGCGCTGCAGCTATGCCCGCTCGTTGTGGTCCTACGGTTGCCATGAACCACTGAACGTGTGTTTTCTTCGGGAAACAACGTCTGGCTCTTCCAGGCTGCTTTCGAGAGATGTCGGGACGAGTTTTCGTCGATCCAGGCGACATAAAAAGACCACCTACAGTCAATCGAGCCGTGTGTCGACTTTCGACTCTTGATGAATGAAACCCCCCATGTAAAGAGGTTTTTCAATTCTAATGGGGAGATATTCATCAAGAGTCGACATGATTTTTGGACAAGCCAGAGGCGAAGCGAACTCACTTTCTGGGGTCTGTGGCCCTCACCCGCCCGCACTTTCAGAGGTTTCAAAGGTGATCCCCGCTAGGAAACCCATTAGTCGGTTTCCACCCACAAACACTTTTGCAGGGATGCTGCATGCCGACATGAGAGGTTCTTCCAGAATCCTGACTCCCCAAAAGTCTGCTCGTTGAGACATCGAGATAAGATACGAAGAACGACTAGCTTCGCTTCACAACCCTCTCACAAACGAGGCAACGGGACACTTGCCTGGAACCCCAGTCCCAACCAGAAACAAATGGTTGGAACACTGGTTGGAACCGGCAAGATAGAGATCCTTTACATAGGACATGGCTAGGACTGGGGAAGAATCCTTCGAACTCTTTCTGGTTGGGAATGGGTTTCGAGGTGGGACTTTTTGTGTTTGAACATCACCTCGAGGAAGTTTAGCTATTCTCAAGACTCGGGTCGAACCCATTGTCCGATTGGAAACCAGTCCCATTGACTCTTGGAGAGAGTGCTCAGTTCACTGAACCTGACGGGTCCTTGAGTTCAAACCGGAGATGGGTTCCTGTGAAAATCCCCACATGTTTTAGGACTATGGCTTCCAAACGAGTTTCAACAAGCCATAAACTGGTACGTGAACTCTTCATGAGCATTATAGAGAAACTTGGACAAGCTGAGATCTTCAAACAAAGATGTTGTCTTAATTTGTTATAATAGTATATGCATATATAGTGTAATGGTTATATACCCATTAGAACTCTCTCGCTCTCTCTTTCTATACATTCTTTAACACCATCAATTAGATCAGTTCCAACATTCTTCCAGAGGTCCCACGTCAGTGGCCCCTAATATGGGGCTTCCGGCGTTCCGTACCGCCGCGGAGCTGTGGTTGTTTCCGGTTCCCCACCGACGACGCGACGGTGCCTTCGGTCTGCCGGCCGCTGGAGATGAAGCTTGGGAACCAATAGACCAAGCAGCCACTGAACGCCGGCCTCGTGGAACGAGAACCGCTCCGGGTCGAACCGCTCCGGGCGTCGAGAGATTGGTCCGTGGGGTCCGTGGTGAGACCGGTGGTGAGACCAGGCAAGGCAAGAGGCGGTCCACCTCACCTGGCGGTCAACCTGGATGGTGGTTCCGTCAGACGCGGAGTTGCCCGCAGGGTAAAGCTATAGGTGGTCTGCAAAGTCTATGAAGCTTTCGAAGTGGGTATCCTAGTAGCTTCTTGTTCCTAGTAGTATATAAGGCCAGGAGTCCCGTTCGTAGCGTCCGATCGCTCCGTTCGTAGCGATGCCCGAAAGGCTCCGTTCGGAGCTTCTTGTTCCTAGTGGTGCTGGAGTTCTTCTGGGGGTCATGGTCCTGCACGACCATGTGAGAAAACCGGCAAACCTGTTCTTTCACGGCCAGTCCACGGCAGGGATGAATGGAATAGAAAAAACGAAGCCCTAGGCCCCCAACAACCATTGTTTTGCTTATATAGGAACTTACACTACAACAACAGGTCAACCTTTCTTTTAAAGGTCCAACGGAAGGCTATGGAACTACGGAGAGTACCTTCTACAAAAGTTCAGCCTCGTAAAGGGCATTTGGAAGAACTCAATGAAATTCCCGTGATGATCATCGCCCATGTTGCTCTTTCATCCCCTGTACTTTGCATCATCTTCCTTGGACCAAGGGTATGCCTTTTCTGCCTCGACATTGGAAGGAACCGTGTCCATGAAAGAATAACATCGCGACCCACCACGACTGGCATCATCACCGGGACTGAGATCAGTCATCGAAATGACCGGCTGGCATCATTTGGGACTGGCATACCCAGACACTCCATGGGACTGCCATATATGCCGCCCCATTGACCCCCCAAACCACCCCGACTGATCGGCATATATGGCAGTCCCATGGAGTCTATGGCATAGAAGGGACCGACCCCTCAAATCAACCACGCCATCGCCAAACAGCCAGCCGTAAGTTTCCGTGCTTCTGGGGAGTCAGGACTGCCAGTCCCGGAGGGGACCAACCGAGAGAGCGCGGGGGCAGGCTCGTGCAGTAGGTTCCAGTGGACCCCAGTGGACAATTTGAGTCCTTGGAACCACTGGATCCATGATACTATAGTCTTTGGAAGCATTGGTTGCCCCTATAGTGGTAACTGGATCCGGAACTTGGAGTGTCGCAAAGAACGATCTTGGAGCAAACAGCCTGGAAAGACTCTGTTTAAGATAAGAGGAATGGAGATTTTGTGGACTGTCGAGTCTCAAAAACCAATTGGGGAGGAGTTCTGATGAAGCAGGCAGCAGAGTCAGCACCCGTAAGCCCTCTAGGTTTAGCCATGAGTGTTCTCATAGATGGCTGCCGGTTGCTCCATTTGGCCGGTTCTGGGTCGATGGAGTGATAAGAATCACCTTGGAAGCCAACAGTCGTAGAAGTGATCCATGCAAGTTCAAGAGTCTCAGTGAGAGAGCATATGATGTAGAACTTGGATTTGCGGAACCGGAAAAAAAACGAAACAAAAATCCTCAGAAGGGGATTTGCCCGTAGGGCCATAGGGACAATAAACAACTCCACTCCCTTAAGCAAACGCCAGAAGACTACTGGAGTAATTACTGCATATCTCCAAGTCCCTTGAGCTGTGGCATCTAATACGCTTCCAGCAGGATGGAGAGCCGCAACATGGTTTGGAGTGAATGAACTTAAACCATGGTGCCATTCTGTGTGGACGAAACGTGCCGGCACGTCCTCCAAACCCAAGAGTTTATGTTTGGCTGATCCAATGCGAGGGGGGGTTTGATTCATTGAAGCAGTCTAGACTCTTGAAATCCCCCAGACATGGATTGAATCACCTCCTCAGGCCGAGACGGGGCACTGGGGGGGGGTGGTGCAAAACATGATCAAACGTCCACCATTTCATCACATTCCGACTGGAACTTCGCTCCCACTGGTGAACGGGGCGACCGTTGAACAGTCGAACTGTGACTGCTGTGACTTCTGTGGGACACGAACTGCGTCTGTTTGTGGGAAGAAATGCTTGGATACCCAACAGAAAAGTCTACCCAGAGGCTCAGTGGCAGGACCCTCAGTTCGCGGTCCGGGTTTGGACCCTCACTTCGCCAGGGTTTGGGACCGAACTAATATGTAGCAGTTGGTTCGGGTCCAGAGTCGCCTCTGGGTCAGAACCCACCCGATCGTGCTCCACCCGATCGTTTTTGGGAGCGGTTCGGTAGTGGCAGGTGATCCACTTCTTTTCACTCACTGGTTTTCGGTAGGTGTGAAGTTTTGTCCATGACACTCTTCCAATTGGGGACCAGACAAAAGTAGGCGGTGAGAACCCGTCAGTACGACCTTCTTTGACTTGAACTCATACAATAACACTACTCAATCAGGTAAAGGATGAGGTTTTACCGGGTCAGATTGGACCTGTAAGGGAAGATTGTTCAATCTGACATGGCCGACTACCCAGTTTGTTCAGAGTTTCGTGGGGCAAACTTCTGCTAGCTGCGACGCTAGCTGGTTGGCATATTCTGGTCTGACAGTCTGAGGGTCATTCTTTGCACGTTCACGACTGGCATGTTCTTTCAAACATATCGGAATCAGGGTGGGTCAAAAAGTCGTGTCAACCTGCAGTTGTGACAAGAGTCTTCGGCAACCTTATGAGCCACACATGACCACAATGAGTTCCACGTCCAAATTTCACCCTTCACAATTCTCCGCCCATGGTAGTTCCATGGGAGAATGCTCTTCAGCCAACCTG